ACTTTTGTTCAGGCATTACTTAATTACTTGTTTCAGATACATCGAATCCTTAAACCAGATGGAGTATTTATTGGTGCCATGTATGGGGGAGACACGCTCTATGAGCTTCGTTGCTCTTTACAGCTGGCCGAACTGGAAAGGGAAGGTGGATTTTCCCCACACGTATCTCCGTTTACTGCTGTCAGTGACTTAGGACATCTGCTGGGAGGAGCTGGCTTCAACACATTGACTGTGGTAATTATCAGTTACAAGAAAGGAAGCCCTGAAAACAGTTGCTTATTGAAAATGTCTGAATAAAGTTGTGTGCTTTTGTTTCTCCATATTCATACCTCAATTCTTCTTGGCCAGTCTTTCTTAAGAAGCTTCCCATTCTGTTGGCTGGCCCTGTTCTCTTCCTTTTTCCTTCAGAGACTCTGCCTCTTGGTCATCTTACTAATTAGGTTTCTAATTATCACCTACTCCGTTTTCCCATTTCTCTATTTGCTGTAAGTGGCACAAAGCTTTCCTGTTGCTGGCTTGGTGTAACATGCTTTATCTTACCAAACTCCTCCTCTTCTTTTGTGTATGGAATCAAGTTTAATTTATACAAAAGAGCTGTGTTTAGTCTTGCTTGTGTCCCACTATTGGGCCTTTTTGAAGTGCATTATTTTGAATATGTTTAAAAACCTAAACCTTCCTATTTTTAGGATACTGATGAAATCCAAGTTAATTATCCAGGGATGTTTGAGATTATGGATGATCTGCAAGGCAAGTCTACTTTTTCTCATTAGCAAATTAGCAGTATAGCATACTATTCTGTATATCATGGTTAAATGCCCTAGGCTTTGTAGAGGGGCATTCCAGGTGGCTAATCCATGACACCTATGTACCCTGTATGTATATTCTACGGGTGGCATGGGGATCCTGTGTGGTCCTCCAGATGTTGTTGAGCTACAGCTTCCATCATCACTGACCATTGGCCATGCTGGCTGGCGCTGATGATAGCTGATGATGGGAGCCCAGGATCCCTATCCCAGTCCTACAGATTGGTTAAACAGAGTAGGGTTGTTTTTTTGTTTTTGTTTTTCTACAATTGAGGCTGATGTTTGAACAAGAAAACATTGTCTGCTAGCCTTTGAAGGTAAGGGGGAGCACTAATGTATGTTACTAGTAGCATGCATCTTGAGTAGGCAGCATGCCACCTCTGATCAGTTGTGAATCTCCAGTCTAATTTTAGATCAAGCTGAATAACCATTTCTATTCTTGCCTTAATGCAAAAAATAAATAAAGGAACCACTTGTACAACTGGGGCAGGTAGATATTGCTGTCAAAGGGCAAAATACTTGTTTTAAATCATCCTTGACTAAATTTTACCAAAAAAAATGGAGCTACAGTCCTACACACACTTACCTGGAAGTAAATCCTATTGTATTCGATGGTGCTTGCTTCTGAGTAAACATAATATTGTGTTTTAGAAAACAATACTTCTGGAAAGTTTTCCTCATGCTGTTTAGAAGATGTTTCCATCTAAAGTGGTTAAACCACCTATCTGTAATAGTCTGCATTACTATATACTGCTTTGTAAGGTGTCTCTAGGATTTGTTACCATGACTGCAGTCCTATGCACACTTCTCTGAGTGGAAGTTTCTTTGAACACTGAACACCTCTAAGTATATGATCAGTTGGCAGATAGGATTTTTGAATTGCATATCTCGTCCCATATTGTCATATTATTGATCTGAAATGCAGAGTGTGAAACTCATTGTGTGTGCTGTATCTTCTTTTAAAGCCTGAAAACTATTTTTAGGTATGGGAGAAAGCAATTGCTCTTGGAGCAGAAAACCTATGCTACACAGGGCAACCATGTTGGCGGCGGCAGCTGTGTACAGAGGTGAGTTTGGTGTTTGAACTGGAATGTCTTAACTTGATGGGATGGGTACCTTTGATAGACCTGTATTGGCTTAAATAGATTAAATTTTACTATATGGTGAAAAGTTGAGCCATAGCTGTCTCTGAATAGGTTTGTGCCATATCGTTTCACCAGCCTTCCTTGCAAACAAGTGTTTTCAAGGCTGGTTGCCCATCCTTTTCTGTTTTCTCACTTCTTCCTCCTCCCCACCATAGTGCACACAGCTTTCCAGTGCTGGAACATATTTTGCTTCCCTTAATGCCAAGAAAGAGTGGGAGCTCACAGCTGCTTCATTTAGCTGGGCAAAGAACCATGATATGAAAGTTGTCATTCTTTGCTCTCTTCTGCCAAAAGGACCAGCAGAAGTGGAGGTTCATGCAATCACCATAGCAAAAGAAAAGCCACGCACTAGCATAACAGTTGGATGACTGTTCTTTTCCCTAGTCCTTAAAGAATTTAAAGGGCAGAAGCTGGCCAGAAAGGCTTCTGGTACAGAAAGTGGGTGGATAGTTGGCTGCCTGGATGCCTGACTAGCACTGCTCATCTTAGTCAAGTGGCTCATTTCATGCCTGAGTTGTGCATCCAATGACTTAAGTAGCTCCTCAGTATCTAAAAATAATATAAAAATAAATGTATTTATATATTATGCAAATAAAATTATGACTACCTGCTTAGGCAATTAAGTCTGTCCTATTCTGCAGTATTTCTCTGGTATTATGTATAATACATGTTTCTTCCATAGAAATGTATGGAAATGATGATGGGACCGTACCTGCAACATTTCAAATATATTACATGATAGGTTGGAAATTCCATGAAACCCAGGTAATGTGCATCCCTTTGATTACAACTAGAGTGTCTAAATAAGCTTATATTTACATATATTGTGTTAAGCTTTTTCAGCGGAATTCCTTTACCAGCTTTTATTTAGTTTTATTAAATTCCATGCTCTTCATGCATAACGTGATTCCTTCTGTCTTCTTTTTAGGCAAGACCAGCACAGAGAGGTTCTGCAACGGCGTCATTTGGCGATCTGAGAAAAATTAATGAGCTAATTCCAGGAGGGAAAAAGCTTTGAGATGTGGTGTTAGTGGACTTTTGCACTGTGGATATTCACACTGCCATGTGCTTTTTAAAACTGACGTGCCACTGACTTTATTTATGTATGTAAATAGAAACAGCATAGATGTATGGAATTTTTATGGTATAATGCCAAATAAAATCATGGTATTTCATGTTTCTGTACAGAATTCAACTGACAAAACACGAGAGAATGAAACAGAAAAGGTCCATATATATTAGGACTAGGGTAGGGTCTAAAGCAGGGGGTGGTTAAGGATCAGGCCCCCAGCAACTTTTTCTGGACCCCCAAGGCCCCATTAAGTTTGGCAGTGCTCAGCACCTGCTGAGGATACAGCTTGCCCCCTCTTCAGTCATTAGATTGAATGGAATGGAGCAGTAGCACCATGTCCCCCAAGCTGATCTACATGTAAAGGGTGCTGTATAGGCATGCATGCGCAAGAGGATAGGGTGCCATTTGGACCCCCGAGTGCAGGTATGTGGCTCTTGGTCCAAAAAACAACCACCAAGTTTAGGCACCCCTAGTCTAAATCCATATGAGACGTCCACTTTGCTGAAGCCAAGCAAATGTGGGTCTGGTCACTATCTAGATAGATACTAAGTAGGGCTATATTTCAACTTTCAAAGCTGTCAGCCTTAAAATCACCACTTGAATCCTTGATCGGTCTTGCTACCCCTTTCCTTCTCTATTCTGTGATTCACGCAGAGCTATGTTTCTCACTACCTCTTGGATATGCTTCCAGTCCATTGAGCAGTCTGTGAGCTGGAAATCATGGGGAAAAGCTGAGCAAGAAAGAAATGTAGCTGTATTTACCTAGGGAAGACTGACCTCTATTAAGAGACTGGAAATGTAATAAAACATTAAGCTTGATCAGTTAAATGCATAAAAAGTATCCTATCCTGCTTCCACAGTGCTCAGAATAACATTTGCTTTCTTCCTCTATCTTTTTGTTCAACTGACTGGCCCAAATTTACCCACTGTGCTAACTCAGGTTTGAATGTCCACTCAGCCATGTTATTGGTCTTGATTCAGACCAGTCTGCTACACTAACACTGCCTTCTTCTAACTTTGCTTATGGGTACTGATAAACAATAGTTTGTGTAGAGAAAGAAATTAGCATTTTGTCTTACACATTAGCAAATAAGCAAAGGCAAGATTAATCCCAGCCTCAGTTCTTATAGCCATTTAAAGTAATATGAGAACTGTGTACAGTATATCACAGACTAAAATTAGAATTCTGGGACAAGAAACATAGGATTTTGACCCATATATTCACACTGAATTTACATACTTTTGTCTCTGCTAGTCATGGGGGACATACTGGCATTTGCTTACAATCAAATTATTAATTCAATTGTCAGTTTCACACACAAGCCCAGTGCTAGTGGCACCTCCACACTGTATGAAACAGTACTCTGGAAAAGGACCCTGGAAATCCCAAGAGCACAAGCATGTATGGAAGACTGTGTGGCCTTTTGCAAGCTTGCTCAGAAAGAAGTCAAGGCAACATAAGTTGCTCCCACACATTTATTGCAGTTAATACCAGGTTTCTTCACCTATGCACGGAGAAAGCAAGATGAAGACTGCACCCCTTATTTAACACACATTACTTTAACCAAACCACTAATACTACTTAAGAAGCTTGGACACGGAACATTAAAGCCCAGACCTATGCCTAGAAATGCAGCACAAAAGGAAGCCTGGATGAGTGAAGTTGAGCTTAGGTTTGAACTCGGCGCTTCTGAATCCTGAGTTATCTTAAATATACCTTCTACCCAGCCATAAATGCTGAAAAGTGATAAATGCTATTTACAACAGGGATGGGGAACCCTTGGCAATTTGGCTCACCTTGAGACCCAGTTTGGCCCATGAAGCAATTTCCCCCCAACCACCACCCTGTGTCATGTTATGTCAGGTATGGGGCATGTAGAAACAGCTTGATGGGCTGTGTGACCCAAGTTTCCCATGGGGAACTTAATGACACAGCTGATCTCTGCAGAAGGCAGGCTTAACCAGTATTAACCAATAGCCATCTCAGCAGTACAGTCTCATTAACTTGATTTCCACCCACACCCTCACCCATTTTTAAAGCTGCAGGCTTACACTTTCCTGGGAATAAGCTCCACGGAACTCAACGAGAACAAACTTCTCAACAGACATGCATAGGATTCCACTGTAAGTTTTGCAAGTTTCTTTCGAAGCTTGCAGAGGAGGGTGGTGAGAGGCTGCCTTCAAGAGGAAATGATTTCAATACACTACGACCATAAGAAATTTAACTTAAGAAGCTATGGGGACCTCCACCTTAACTGAAGCTTTCAAAGGTTGAGTTCATGCAGAGAAACAGCCCAGGAAAATAAGATGAATATTTGATGACTGGAAGAAAGTAAGCTACATACACTTGAGCTCATCCAGACTTTTATGTGGGTTTGAGGGTTTTTTCCACCTGGCACTTTCCCTGGAAAACCCGCATTTTACCACTGAATCGGAGCAAATGGTAAATTGTAGAAAACCCAGTTGCCATGATTGCTCTGATTCAGTGGTAAAATGCAGATTTTCCTGGGGAAAGCATTTGGGGGAAAAACAAACACTTCAACACTGAGCTTTAAAGCCCAGACCTGTGCCTAGAAACGTGGCATGAAGGGAAATCTGGATGAGCACTGAGTGACGTTAGAAAATACTATTTCCAGGCAAGATTGGTACAAATATGCTATTTATACATGTTTTTTAAGGCACAGCTTGCAAGGTTATGAGTCAGGTGGCTTTTGGTTTCAGTTAAAAGTGTTTTGTTTACACTTCAATGGGGAGGTGGTACTACTAACGTATTTTATTAGGTTTTGACTTGTTGCTTTTTAATGCTGAATAGAGACTAAAGTAATATTTGTGCTGAAAACTATATTAAAATCAAAAGAATAAAATGAACAGGACTTTCACAGACCTTTCATACCCCTCCTGTTTAATTTTGCCTACTGCTTATCAACAGTATAAGCAACAAAACAATGACTATCATCACAATCAGATCCCAATGTAGTCTTAGCATGTGGTCCAAGTCCGACAGTTTCCAGTTTCCCATTTGCTATAGAAGAGAAGAAGAAGAAGAAAGTATTTTCCAGGTGAAAAGCTTTGCTTTGCAAATACGACTTGCACAATAGGTATGAGCAACATCCTTCTGTATTATCCACTTTCCTCACTGGTTACTACTTGGTCTCAGGTTCATGGCATGTATGCTTCGTTCCTGGTGCTGTAACTATAATGTAAGTATAACATCCTGAACCTATGCTGCAGGTCCTCCCCTCATCAGCTTTGCTCAGCTCCATAAGGGTGACTTTGACAGAAGGACTTACAACAGGCATAGGCAAACTCGGCCCTCTAGCTGTTTTGGGACTACAACTCCCATCATCCCTAGCTAACAGGACCAGTGGTCAGGGATGATGGGAATTGTAGTCTCAAAACATCTGGAGGGCCGAGTTTGCCTATGCCTGACCTACAACATGGACAAATCCCCATGTGGCTCAGGATTTGGGTTGTTACCCCAAAGAGCAGAGAAAAGAGTTGAGCTACAACGGCATTCACCGAATGATCTTAATTTTAGACTGTGTCCTTTCTTCAAGTGAAGGACAGTTTAAGAATAAAATAGGCATACACGCCTTACCAAATAAAGGACCCTATGCCATTCATAGTCAGGTTCTAGAGTTCTATTAACACAGAGTATTTTCACGACATCATGGTTTCAATATACACTGCAAAAAAATGCTGAGATACAATTCTGCTCACCAGTTTCTTTTGGTACCCGGGAATAACCTTAACAAGTGTGCATCCACAAAAAAAGAAGAAGAAAAGGCTTCTGTTCATGGGGGTGGACATGGAGGATTGTTTAAATGCCAAACTATTTTCCTATGTGGGAGGGAGTCTCTGGCATTGGTACAGTATACACCGCCTTCCATTTTTGTCCTCTTCCTCCAGATTTGGGTGCGGGGGGAATCTGTTCACCAATAGATAGGTGGAAGGCTCCAGTTTTTCTGGGAGAAGTAAGTTCCTCACATGACAGCTGAAAGTTTCTTTAAGTAACACCTCCTCCAAAATGGTGGAGGTTAAAAGAACTGCTACCATAACTACTAACCACTAACCCTCAGCCTCACCCTAACCGCTGATCCTAACCCCCTAAACCCTAACACACTAACTCCAACACTAGCCCTAACCCTCACCCTCACCAACCTCTAAACTTACACCTAACCCTTACCCTAAAACATCTTAATCCTAACCCCCTAACCCAAACCCCAAACTTGAACCCCTAAACACAACCCTAATCCTAACCCCCAGCCCTAATGACCTAACCTTTACTCCTAACCCTAACCACTAACCCTTACCCCTAACCAAACCCTAAACCCTAAACCTAACTGTAACTGTAACTGTAACCCCAACACACTAACCCAACCCTCTAACCCTACCCCAACCCAACTGTAACCCTATCCCAAGCCCAACCCTCACCCGAAACCTAACCCTACCCAATCCTAAACCTAAGAATAAGCCTAAACCAATCCTAACCCTAGTTTAGGAATTTGGTTTACGGGTTCAGGTTCAGGGGTTTGGTTTAGGGGTTCAAGGTTCAGGGGTTAGGTGTAGGGGGTTCAGGTGTTAGGTTTAGGGGTTCAGGTTTTGAATGTTATATTTAGGGCTTCGGGGCTGGGGCTTTGGGGTTTGGGAAGAAAGTATGAAAAGTTAGAGTCCCACTCAAGGAAAGGCAAAGATTGCCATTAGGCTTAGTAGAAACACATTTAGATTTGCACATCTAGCCCCACTTTCAAGATTTGATACTTAAAATCACACTTCTGTGAATTATACAGGAGGATTTCAATTTCATTAGGATTCTGCATCTGAGGAAGTCACTCCAGTGTGAAATTTCAATTAGCAACAACATTTTCATGTTGGGAGCACGTTAGGTGCCCTGAATCTTAAAAACTGGTCTAAGAGCATTCTAGGTTTGACAACTACAATGACTACAAATAAGGGTGAAGTGCAATTTCACAAAGAGGGTATCTTGGAATAGCAGACCCTAATCAAATTACAAGAGGTTAAGTTTGTGTAAATCACACTTACCTTGAGAAGCTGAAGATCTGTGAACAAGTGCATCACTTCTAGTCTTATATATGCTAGGAACACTGGTATGAAAGCATCTGGGCTTGTCTCAGCTGCCAGGTCATACCACCTTCTAGCTAAGTGTATATCCTAAAGATAGAAAGTCATTTCTAAAATTTACAAGGGCTTTATGAAATATCTATGGTTAAGACACCTTCCAGTAGCAATGTCATTGTGGTGCTCTCAAAATCATTTTGATTGATATGGTAAGGGCCAATGAAGATTGTCAAATTCTATTGACTGAATCAGAATTCTTGCTTGTATGCATAGTTTGCATGCTTTAGCATAAAGCCTTGGGGTGATTTACTACGTGCTCTATGTGGGGCTACCTTTGAAGGTGACCCAGAAACTACAACTAATCCAGAATGTGGCAGCTAGACTGGTGACTGGGGGCGGCCGCCGAGACCACATAACACCGGTCTTGAAAGACCTACATTGGCTCCCAGTACGTTTCCGAGCACAATTCAAAGCGTTGGTGCTGACCTTTAAAGCCCTAAACGGCCTTGGCCCAGTATATCTGAAGGAGCGTCTCCTCCCCCATCGTTCTGCCCGGACACTGAGGTCCAGCTCCGAGGGCCTTCTGGCGGTTCCCTCACTGCGAGAGGCCAAGTTACAGGGAACCAGGCAGAGGGCCTTCTCGGTAGTGGCGCCCGCCCTGTGGAACGCCCTCCCATCAGATGTCAAAGGGATAAACATCTACCTGACATTCAGAAGACATCTTAAGGCAGCCCTGTTCAGGGAAGTTTTTAATATGTGACATTTTAGTGTATCTTTCATCTTTGTTGGAAGCCGCCCAGAGTGGCTGGGGAAACCCAGCCAGATGGGCGGGGTACAAATAATAAATTATTATTATTATTATTATTATTGTAAGCATCAGTCAGCCTAGAAAACTAGCGAGGAAAAGAATCACTATTTCCTCAAAGGTAGTTTAAAAGCGTATCTCAAGATCCAAAGAACTGCAGGTAGTGACCCCTTTTTGCATAGATGTTTGGCAGCAACCCCTTCCAACAGCATCTCTGAGCAAAACCAAACACTGTCTTCTGGGGGAAAATATTTTTGCATTCAGGGTGCAGAACCACTTTACACTTGTGCATGGCACGAATAATGTGGAGCTAAGCCACTGGGTCATTTGTAGTTCCACTTGTTAAATAAGACTAACATATTCCACCAATTGTAGTGTTATAGTCCATTAATAATGGTGGAAATTCTCATAATCTACTGACTTCTCAGTTCTTTAGCTTTTGTGAGCTGTGCTGGTTATCCTGCTGTCGCAGTAGAAGAACATATTCAGTGTCTTCATTGTTCCTAATATACTGATGTGTTGGTCAATATTTAGTCAATACTTGATCAACTGACCACATTTTTGGACAGGTCAAGTACCCTGCCCAAATGAAAATTCTGTGTCCCACCTTGGTTCTTTAACTAGAATATTCACAATAACCAAAGTTTACTTGCAGAGCTAATGTTTGATGCAGCACCAGACATAGATTATGTTACCTTAGGAATGCCTAAACCATATTCATACATATATGCCAGATTGAACATGGCTTGAGCACTCTGTTGATTAGCAGCAAGGTTATAATGAACCGCAGCTGTCAAGTAATCTCTCTTTATTCCAAAACCATAGAAGTGATAATCTCCCGTTTTAACTCTGGCAAATATATTGCCTGCAAGACAAATAGGTGAAAAAATGTTATGATTATGATTGCTTTTGTGACTGTTATTTATAATATCCCGCACCTATCAATCCAAGGTGGTAGAGGAAGAATTCTTGGTCATTGTCATTTGTGCCACCAGTTCTGAAGGTGGTTCTGAAAAGTGCAATTCAAACAAAGTGGCCTCCCTCCGAAAGAGGTTTCTGTGCATGTGTACAAAGACACTGGACCACATATGATACCTGCTTCTCCATCACTAGTGTTGACTTACTCTGTTTTCAGGCTCTTGGCTGGATCCCAGCTATTTTGATCACAAGCATTTATTAGAAATGTTTCTTAGGCTACCTGCCAATAAAACTTGTGAGGCAGCTTACAATGCAGTAATCCAATTAGATAAGACAGAGAGACTGTGATACATAGATAAAACAGCACTTGAAAACTAACCATAACAGAACAGTTATAACAAGCCTACACTCACCTTGAGACAAAAAAGAAAAGTCTGGAACTGCAATTATTTGAGAATCGGTGCCAGATTACTAGCTCTCAGAGCCCATGTTGCTATAAATACAAATGGTGCTATATTCTCACCTCTTTGTAACTGGGGTAGTTCTGAAGAAGAGGCCTTATAAAGGAAGCTCTTCTAGGGACTTCCCCTGCATGCAAAGACAGGCTCAGGCAGATTGATCGGATGTGACCATTAGTGGGTCCAACAGTCAAGAAAGCAGTTTCTGCACGAGCTGTAGAGGCGCAGGTGGGGCTCGTTCACCTGGTAGCCCATCTCGGAGAAGGAAAACTCTGAACCAAACCTCCACTGTCTTGCAGGTGTACTTGTCTATGAGAAAGACTTCAGGAGTAAACCTCAAGGAACAATCCATATCCACTGCTTTATGGGACTTCTTTGGGAGAAGTCCAAAAAGTACAATTTTTTCGCTCTATAGGACACACTTTTCCCCCTCCAAAAATTAAGGGGAAATGTGTGTGCGTCCTATGGAGCGAATGCAGGTCCCTTGGCTTCAGTGACAGCAACGCGAAGTCTCCAAAGCGCAGAGGGAGTGCTCCCACCGCGCTCCAGTGGCTGCGTGTTGCTTTCGCTAAAGCCTGGAGAGCGAGAGGGGTCAGCGGGAAGTTGCGCTGCACTCCGAAGGCTTTGGGTTCCTTTTGCTGAAGCCGGGAGAGCAAGACTCTCCCGGCTTCAGCAGAGAGGGAGAGCTGCGCAGCGCCCCTTCAGCGAAGCGGGAGGAGAAATGGAAGGGGCTCCGTTTCTCCTGCCGCTTTGCTGTAGGGGCGCTGCGCAGAGAGGGGGAGATTCCCCCCCTCTTTTTCTCCCTCTCTAAAACAAGGTGCATCCTATGTTCGGGTGCGAAAATATAGAGTGAAAAATACGGTATACCCTAAACAAATCCAAAGTAGAATGGCGTCTTGTATGTTTCCTTCTGGCAGCTCCTGCAGCCAAGCTAGTGCCAGATGTATTGCTTTCCTTTCCTTTGGATCACATCAGTGAGGCCAAGAGAGGAGTCTTTTTATTTGGACAGCACAGGACCTCCACACACACTGCCCAAGTTTGGCAGAACAACAGTACTCAGACTTTACAGCACTGAAGTGTGGATGAAGTACATATTTTAATTCTTTTCCCTCTCTTGCTTCCTATAAATTCTTATAAATTGTAATTATTATTGATACAAAATACCTTTTCCTTAGGGTCACCAATTTAAGCAATACATGTTATTACACATCATTTGACACAACTTTGTTAATATATTCTGAAACTTTTATCTCAGTTATCTCAGTTTATTGTTATGAACATGAAATTTATTACGGTCAGAGTCCAGCTTGAGAAACATATTTATTGTTATGTAATTGTTGCATGTCAAATGCTCTAATAAAGATAGGTAAAGGTAAAGGATCCCTGGACAGTTAAGTCCAGTCAAAGGTGACTATGGGGTTGTGGCGCTCATCTCGCTTCAGGCCAAGGGAGCCGGTGTTTGTCCACAGACAGATTTCTGGATCATGTGACCAGCATGACTAAACTGCTTCTGGCTGTGCCACAAACCAGAGTGCACAGAAATGCCGTTGACCTTCCCGCCACAGCGGTACCTATTTATTGATTTGCACTGGTGTGTTTTCAAACTGCTAAGTTGGCAGAAACTGGGACAGAGCAACGGGAGCTCACCCCGCTGTGCGGATTCGAACTGCCGACCTTCCAATCAGCAAGCCCAAGAGGCTCGGTGGTTTAGACCACAGTGCCACCCGCTCCCAAAGATATATCCCAATGCAAACTAACAGTTTAAAGAGGAAAATGAGTAAAAACTATGTTGCCAAGAATTGGCGCCAGATGAATCTCCCTGTAAATGGCATAAGACACTCTAGGCAGTCACTCAGTCACCACCTGCTTATCTTTAGGCAGAGGAGGAGGACATGGGAAAGGGTCTGTGGTCATTCCTAGGTCTGCTTAAGGACTAGTGGAGGACAGCCTGCTGCTTTTCTATAGTGCAGTGGAGACTCTGGTCAATGCAAAGATCTAGTGGTCTTTAGGACTGCGGAATCAGAATGATGCTGGCAGTGTGACAGTAAACTGCATTTGTTCTGAAAATGTTCCTCTTTTGTTTTAACAGGATTGTTCTCACACTTTGAATCCCCAAACCGCAGGGATCGAGTAGGTTACAAATTTTAGTCAAATGAAAATGGCAATTGGCTTTGGGAATACTTTGCCCTTCTATTAAAATATTTGATAGTAATTCAGGTCATTTGGTGACATGGTTCTAGGACCTGGAACGAGGATACCCTTGTTCAGATTTGCTGGCTAGTCTTTAATAGAATTGTCAAGGCTAAAGCATTATTCTATCATTAAACCTACCCGTCCTGGTTAAGGAAGTACTCTAAAGAAAAACCAAGATCAAAGAAATGCTGAAATCTAAGTTCCCCATTGTGAGTCTCAAGAAATGGACATGCTGGGATGAATTATGTCCAAGGAAGTGAGGCAAGCTGAGAGCACTCTTCATTCTGACATCTTAGAAAATTCAGTCACCTTCAGGGCATGCAGGACAAGGCATAGCTAGTTGATTTGCTTGAGCAGAAATTAAAGGTTCATGGTAGCTAAGTCTTTACTGCTCAGTGAGTTTACTTCTGTGCCCCAAACATCACGTAGAGACTTTGATAGGCATGTCAAAGAACTGAAAAAATAATTAGCTTGAAGGAGCATGAGGTTCCATTTTTCAAATTATCCTTCCTTTTCTCTGACAGAATGGATGGCTCATATGAAATAGCAATGAAGCGAAATTGTTTAAACCATTCATTGCTTCTTTATATGTAACAAAATTAAGTAGAGGGTAATAAAAAAAAGTGAGATTGGTTGGGAATATAGATAGCTAGGTTGGTGGGGGATGCCTATTCTTGAAGGTCACTTAACGTTCTATTGTCATAGGAATTATATTTGTTATTATTATTATTTATTAAATATGTATACCATCCTTCATCCAAAGATCACAGGGAGGTTCACAACATAAAAATACAAAATGAGAACACAAAATACATAATAAAAGCAAAAACAAAGCAATAAACCCACTATAGAGATTGATGTAGCAAGACCATGTAAAAGGAACAAGGTAACAATTAATATGAACATCATTCATTTTTTTACATTTTATTATTCAGTACTTTATTATTCAGTACTTTATAAGAAATGCCTGTGGGATTGCCATCTCAATGAATTAAGTGGAGGGGAAGGAAAATAATATCTAAATATTTTGTAACAGTGATTTTTAATGACTTATCGGTATTGTTGCATGAATGTAATATTTTCTTCCTATTTAACTGCAAGAGCCAAAATGGGGGAAAATATCATACTAATAAGAGTGGACAGCTAGGCACAGGTTATTTTTAACTCTGTTCATACCTTGATTTGCAGCCCGCTTCCATAAAAGAAGAGCCAATGGATATATCTGCTCTTGGTGGAGAAGTTTAACATTTTCTGTAACAAAATATTAGCATCATTTGTCTTAACACAATCACCGTGTTAAAGAATGGAAGTAAGCAGCATAAGATAAAGTTTCCCTTACCAGATTCCATAATGTGAGCTGAATTGCACTGAGCTACTTCATAGCCCATTTCTGCTAGAAGTGCATATTGAACAAGAGATGATTCAACATTGCCAGTCTGGTAAGCAAAGTGTGCTGTCAGGAATTTGTCTGACCATCTCCCCAGTTCACATACGGTTCTGTAAAGCTAAATAGCAAAAAAAGGACAGACATTAAACACATACAAAGAACACCAGAAGTTTGTAAATAACTTTATCTTAACAGCAGGCTTAATGGAAGAAAAGAAGATTAAAGGGAGACACTAGACAGGGCAGTGGTTTTAAATAGATGCCACCAATGTGGGCACAACGCTTCAGGTGGCAGTCCTAGGCATACTTACCTGGGAGTAAGCCCCCTGAAAACAATGGGAATTCTGAGTTTCTGAGAAAAAAATTCATAGGTTTGCACTATAAAACAAGTTCAGCATGTGTTGTGCTTAAATCGCCTTTGAAATCAATGCAATGTGCATAGCTTTGGCTGGATTGTGTCTCATGTGTGTAATGTTTGCAAAACATTTCTTAGCGCTAAGGACACAAATGCCATGAGATGCAAAAAAAAAAAAGTAGAATTAATTCATCTACAGTAACTCCCCAAAATCTTAGTATTTTGTAGCCTCTTTGATAGAAACCTAACTTTGGAAGGTGGGGGTAATAGATGCCAGTGGAAGATTTTTTTGCTAAGTCTAAGCGCAAGAGACTCATGAGAAGAGAAGACTCCCTGGAAAAGACCCTGATGTTGGGAAAGATGGAGGGCACAAGGAGAAGGGGACGACAGAGGATGAGATGGTTGGACAGTGTTCTCAAAGCTACCAGCATGAGTTTGACCAAACTGAGGGAGGCAGTGGAAGACAGGAGTGCCTGGCGTGCTCTGGTCCAGGGGGTCATGAAGAGTCGGACACGACTAAACAACAAGCGTAAGAGAACATATTTGCCATGGTTGTGGTTGGGCAGAAAAAACCCATAAACTTTTCCTCTCCACACACTGTAGTCCTGATGCAATTTTGGCCCCCATGCCTGAATTTCAAGAAAGAAAACTCCTGGAATGTTTTTGAGCTATTCATTTGACATAAAGTGTAGTTTGACTCTGTATCTATTGCTACTGGGTGGTTGTTGTCTTTGGACAGCTGTTGATATTGGATGAGAACAACCATCAACATTAATATCTCAAAGGGCAGACTCTCAAACAGGGCATTACTTACTTTAACAGCATTCTGGCATGACCTGAAAGCTCCCATTCCCGTAGCGTACATTTCAGCCAAGTGATAAACAGCAAGGGGTTGCCCGTTTTGAGATGCCAAGTAAAAATATTGGAAGGCAAGTTTGTAATCTCTCTTGACTCCAGAGCCATCTGCAATGAAATATGATTTGGATTTTCATCAAAAATTAGGTAACTGAACCATGGGAGCCTTGACAAAAGGAAGAACTGTGCCCAGGGACTTACTGTGATACATAAGGCCCAGCTGAAATTGGGCCTGGGCATATCCCTTCTCTGCTGCTTTATGAAAGTATTTAAAAGCTTCACTGTGATTCTGAAAGGGAAACAAACTTATTGAGACGTCAAGAAATTAGTTTCTGGTTTTGTGGAACACTGATCGTGGACCGCAGCTCAAAAGAAGTTGCAGCTGCATTATGAGAAGCGGTACTGATAACTTGCGGCACAATCCTGTACTTGCGATCTGTCGGCTGCGGGGTCATGAGACGTAGCACTAAGTCACATTATGACAACAGAGCACAAGGTACACAAAGACCCTGGCGGAACAGCCTCTGTGGTAAGCCATTTATTGGTCTGTGCAATGTGCCTCCTCATTGGCTCAGGGGTGCTTGAAGGTAGAAACCCCTCCCCACCTTGACTACTGTGTGGTGGTATCCTAGGACCCCTTGCATGTAAAACATAAAATCTATGTTTTAATTTTGGGTTGTTAAAGCCACATTAGGCCAAGCGTCTTATGGTTTTATTGGCTTTTTTTATTATGAAAAAGCTCTGATACACTGAAGACTTACCCGTGGAAGACCTTTACCATGTAAATAAATAAGTCCAAGCCCCCATAGTCCAATGGAATTGCCCTAAATAACATATTGAGAATGTTTCATTTAGACATAAGAATAAGTTACCCACTCTATGAAAAGAACCTATAAAGAATCACTGTAATTGTGTGCCTTAGTGTCAATTATAATTATTTACTGATTATATTTCTCGCTTGTTAACCAAGAGACAAATGTCTCCTTCGCCATATCTCCTCTGGACATTGTGTCACACCAAGTTATTCACATAACCCTGGTATGAGCAACAAATGGTTTAAAGGTAAAGGGACCCCTGACCATTAGGTCCAGTCGCGGATGACTCTGGGGTTGCGGCGCTCATCTCGCTTTATTGGCCGAGGGAGCCGGCGTACAGCTTCCGGGTCATGTGGCCAGCATGACTAAGCTGCTTCTGGCGAACCAGAGTAGCACATGGAAACACCGTTTACCTTCCTGCCGGAGCGGTACCTATTTATCTACTTGCACTTTGACGTGCTTTCAAACTGCTAGGTTGGCAGGAGCAGGGACCGGGCAACAGGAGCTCGGACGACCTAAATGAAGCATTTTGTTACACAGTTGTGATTATTAATGCAATCTTATGCAACTCTACTCATTTAATTCAATTGGAACTATTTCCATTGAGTTCAATGAGTTTAATTAAGAGTAAAATCCTGCCTCCCTCCCCAAAAGAAGTTCTGATAGGTTTGCTCTGGAGGCAGTTGAAATGTTCATGAACATCAGTGTCATTATATCAACCCAGGTTGGTGTCAAAGACTTCACCAGACCCAAGTATAACACAATACAGTATAGACAAAGAGAATATTAATTTTGGAGGACAAATGCAGTCTGAGCAAGTGTAATTTGAAGCCTACAAGTTTAATGGAAGTTTTATGGAAAAGTTCCCCTCTCCCCCAATGTTGTTCATCACATAATCATTTTTCTATGCAGCCTTTTCAGTTGCTACTACTTATCTATTACAATCCTTAGTGTTGAACAAGTTAGTCACCTCTTACATAGCACCAATGCATCTGGTGTTTTAAAAGATTAAATGAAAGAGGCAGATGTGAGATGCCAGCAGTCTAAAAATACAGGCAAAATGAACAGTAGGAGAGGAATGAAGGGACAATGTACTTTGACACATGACACCCTCAATATATCTACAACTTGATTCCCAATTCAATATTGATGTGATGAAATCACCATGAAGCAACACTTTCCTATAACATTTGTGGGGTCGTTCTCTCTTTCAAATATAACCTTGAGTTGTTAGATCTGAAATTTACTTCATTAGTTATAACAATTTGTAATGTTTTGCACTTTTAGCACTGAAACATTTTGTTTGTTTTATATATTAGCTGCTTGATTTTTCATTTTAAAAAGGCAACCCACCTCTAAGCAGTTTACATAAAGCTGTGCAAAATATTCCATTGACTGATCCTGTTGATGTCTAAATAACAACAGGGGGCATTCCTCAGTACCAGGAAAAATATGCAAGAGATGTTTTAAATGAAAGTTCAGAGTCTAGAGCACCAGCCATGGGCATCACTGGGAGCTTCCACAGGCAGAAGGTTGACAAACCTAGTATAATAGGTTAAGGACATTTTAAAGAGCAAGTACAGAAGGTTAATCATGGTGTGGTTTGATTTAGTGCTTGGAATATATAAAGTTAAAAGTTGATTTGAAGCAGTTATTGTTGTGATCTTTAATTGTCAGATTTAACTGTATTCCTAAGAAATGTACCCCTGCCCGTACGGGCCAGTCGTGTCCGACTCTAGGGTTGCGCGCTCATCTCGCTCAAGAGGCTGGGAGCCAGTGCTGTCTGAAGACACTTCCAGGTCACGTGGCCAGCGTGACGAGCGTATTCCTAAGAACAATGTATTAATTATAATTAATTAAAGCTGCTACTTTTTTTAGAAAAAGAAAGAAAATACAATACCTTCTCTGCCGCCATTTTGAAATACTTCAAAGCTGCAATGTTACTCTGAGGCACTGTAGCACTTCCTTCTAAATACATCTAGACAGGATTAAGAGGGGATATTTCTTCAGATGATGTTGACCATCCATGGAAATGCCTCCTCTTGCCATTAAAAATTTGCAAAACAAACGGATGAAGTTCCTCTGAATTTTATCCTATTTTGCACTTTTAATTCCTGTTTTCTGTTTGACTTTATGTTATGTATAGTGCTGGGCTTTCATGAGTCATTTTAAGGAAGATTTGAGGAATCATTAGCCCTCCAATGTTACTGAACATTAACTCACAATATCTATTAGCCATGTTTGACAGGGCTGATGAGAGTTATCTATCAGCAACATCTAGAGAGCTGAAGGCTCTCTAGGTTAAGGGACCCCTGACCGTTAGGTCCAGTTGTGACCGACTCTGGGGTTGCAGCGCTTGTCTCGCTTTATTGGCCGAGGGAGCCAGCGTACAGCTTCCGGGTCATGTGGCCAGCATGACTAAGCCGCTTCTGGCGAACCAGAGCAGAGCACGGAAACGCCGTTTACCTTCCCGACGGAGCGGTCCCTATTTATCTACTTGCACTGGTGTGCTTTCGAACTGCTAGGTTGGCAGAAGCAGGGACTGAGCAACGGGAGCTCACCCCGTCACGGGGATTCGAACCACCGACCTTCTGATCGTCAAGTCCTAGGCTCTGTGGTTTAACCCACAGCGCCACCCAGGTCCCTTGAAGGCTCTGTACTCCTGCTTTAAATATACAACTATAACACAAGCAGCTGAACACATTGTGTATTTGTTTCGAAAAGGAATACCCACAGCTTACAGTAACATAACAATTCTCTTTTTTAAAAAATACCAATACCCGCTTAATAATAATTAATATTAAATTTATTACCTGCCCTTCGCCTTAAGGTTCCAGGGCAGATTACAACATCACAACACACATGACAACACAATATAAAACACACTTTAAAACGACTTACAAGTAGAGAAAAAAAGTGGGTGCTAAAAATATACATCTCAAGTGTCAAAAGCAAGGACAAAGAGGTGCGTCTTGAGGAATCGCCAGAAGCTGTGGAATGAAGGTATCAGACACACCTCTCCGGGGAGGGAGCTCCACAACTTACAACCAGCAATGGCATGAATTTTCCATTTGCAAATTGAAAGACTCCTTCTATTCATGGAAGGCCTTTCAACCAGTGTAGGCCCCCATTGGCAGAAGGAACAGAGAGTGTTTTTTTCTGATCCTCCTTTCCCCTCCAGTCCTCTGTGTCAAATCTTGAACTGTTCCAGTTGGTCTCTTAAGCCCTCCAGAACAGATTTTCAGGGTGCTGCAAAGGAGAAATAAGCCAAAATTGCCCCCCCCCCAATTCTGCCAGCAGCATCTCATGGAAATTTGGAGTCCACACCACTGATTAGAAGAGAAGCACTTTTTTGTGTGTCTTGTTCTTAAGCTGACCAGGAAATGTCAAGAAATGGAAGGAGAAAAGAAATGTCAAGCTCTCCCCTCAAAAGTGTCCATGCCTCTTGAAAGTCCTCCTTAAGTTTGCCATTCTACTTTGAAGCACAACACTTCAAAGTCAATCATGATATGCCTTTGATTTTGCATGCAGAGATACAAGACAGTCAGATCCCTTTGGCCATGATCATACAGCAGAGCTTTCCAAACTGTGCGTCATGAGACGTTAGTGTGTCAGCTGCAGTGTGTAGGTGTATCACACAAATGCTCCCTGCATTCCTCCTGTGAACTGGAATGGGGTTAGTTTAACCTCCGGTTTGCTAGCAAAACTGAATTAACTGTGTTGCGAAATGATGCGTGTCTAAAAAGTGTGTCTCCAACATGAAAAGTTTGGAAAGCTCTGTCATACAAGATAGGTGAGAACTGTAGTTTAATGTGGTCTTAAATGTACAACTGAAGATTGCCTCTTCCCTCCTCCAGTCTCCTCCACTCTGCTTTGACCACATCGCAAGTAGCTTGTATGTGAGAATGGCCCCAATCCACTGCAGCTGGACTCTGCTTGAATGTGAGGAAACTACAAAGGACCATAGATGGGGTCTCAAGCAACAAATTAATCCCAAGAAGCAAACATAGGTACCTTTCCCAGGAATGCCATACCATGTGAATTCCCTGCATTCGCTGCCTTTAGGAAATAGTAGAAGGCTTTCTAAAGAAAAAGAGCAGAATAAAGTGATGACTGATATAACCAAGTTTCCAAATCAAGGTATGCATTCTCCTGCCTTGACACCTGTTCATAGTTAGACAGGCCATATTGGTGAACAATAATTCAAACTGGCATCTTTATGTTCTAGTAGTCTGTACAAACTTAGATCATATGCCCCAAATGGTATTGGGGTTCAATCCATAATGTCTCCAGGCAGGGCTGCAAATGTCAAATCTGAAACCCCTGGAGAGACACCATCCACTAGGGATGGAAGAATCTGCCCATTTGGATCTCTTAGTTGCTTATTAGTTTTTCCATCTTAAAATGATTTTTTGTCATATGAGCAGCAATTTGCCGTTTGTTTTCAAATCCCCATGAAAATTCTTCTGCATTTTAGTGTGACGTTTTTATGAAGTTTTGACTATATGTGCATTTTTGCAAGCAATTTTCCCTAATGTGATATGTTTTTGTATGTTATTTTAATGCACATTTCACCCTAATATATGCATTTTTTAAAGCACTGCTTGATTGGTGAGCTGCATTACAACTCAGATGTGTGTGAATTTCAAAGGCTGGCTGTGTGCGGGGTTTTTTTGTTTTGTTTTTAATTGTAACAGAAAGTGTGAGTTTGATTAATTCAGCTTTACATGCTAACTGAACTGAAATTTTTCCACATCCCTAGAGCTCCGAAGAGCCAACGGCTTGACCTGGTATAAGACTGCTCCCTGTGTTTGTTTGCTTTTTTAGTCCCATTTTGCTACAAATACATAAATCTTAGGTTGCGGTCCAGAAGGGCACTCACATATGCCTACCTTTTCCTCCTTAAATAATGCTTTTCTGAAACTGCTTTAAAGAAACCCCAATTTTCTGCTGCCAAAACTCCCAAACTAAAAAAGCACTCTACACATTTGTTGCATAAATGTTTAAAAGAACGCACAAACTCACACAGCTGGCATTTCTGTTTATAAAAACCTAAGCACCAGCTTCCTTGAACTGCTGCTTGAACTCGGAGGAAATGAAAGACCATGCTAGATTCTCAAAAGGATGCCTGTTTGAACAGGGGTATTACTTTGTGATCTTAAACACGCTCATTGGAACCATCCCATTCAAATCAACCAAATATACTTCTAAAATTTAAAACTGTAAGAGCACGGCTTTCATCCTTCTAATCTACCTGCACTTACAGCATGATCTCTCTCGAGTCCTTTCCTTCCGAAGAGATGCAGCTGTCCTAGATACACCTAGAAAGAATTATTTTAAAAATGAATGTCTTGTGTCTTTTGGAGCCAAAAGTCAATGAGCAAGAATGGCCCAATGTCACACCAGCAAACACAACAAAATCTCCCCCTTCCACCTGTTTTCTCCAAGCCTCCAGAGCAGATTTTGTATTTTGCGGGTGCACAGAAAACTGCAGGAGAGAAGAGAGGAAGGGGAATCAAATAGGGCCAAACTTGCAAGAAAACTTGCGCAAGAAAACTTGGATTCAATTATCTAAGGTGAGAAAACACTCATCTGATGTCCGTTTTTCACAAACAATTTGACTGCAAATAATAACTCTTGTAAATTCTTATTTCTAGACGCATGTCGAAAAAGAAACATAAAAGAATTAAATGATATAGACTTCCAACAGTTATAGTCCTCAAAAAACCGAGGTATGGAACCAAATATCATGATATGTGTTAATACACTCTAGAATGTATATACTTTATTATATTTATGATCTATGATATTGAAGAATCTTGATCTATTTTGACATATTATTTGATATTACCAGCTGAAGAAGGCGTTTACTCCGAAACAGGGCCCTGTCCTGGTCACCACTACTGAGTCGTACATCTGATTCACACTCCGGATACTCCTTTTTGGCCCTATTTGATTCTTCATTCTTTATTCTGATTTTATACAATATGGACTCTTTTTGACTGCCATTGAGACTTGTATAAAACAATTGTTGTATACTGGTATTTTATGTACCTTTATACTATATCACTGCATATTTGAAACTACATTATTTTTGTACTTAAACGTTGTATCTAAATTTACTAGTACCTTAAAACTATCGCACTTACACGCTGTGTTTAAATTCACTATTAGTTTCTAACTGTTATTCTTAGCAGAATACACACGTTTTTCTTTTCAACTCTTGAGTAGGAATTATTCCTTATATTGAAACTTGTGGCCAGAGCTCTTGGTATATCCTTTTCAGTGTATTTTCAACAAGAACTCCAATTTCTTTAACGATAACCCTCAGCCAATAAAGCAAGACGAGCGCCACAACCCCAGAGTCGACCACGACTAGACCTAATGGTCAGGGGTCCCTTTACCTTTACCTTTACAGTTAGATCTATGCGGGCAAAGCCTTGCATCACATAGCACAAAAACACAAAGTGGCTACATTCAGTTTAGATGGCTTTAATAGAGGATTAGACAAATTGATGGATGTTAAGGCTATCAATGGATGCCAAGCACAATGACTACGGTATGTACCGTATTTTTCGCACCATAGGACGCACTTTTTCCCTCCCAAAAAGCAAGGGAAAATGTGTGTGCGTCCTATGGAGCGAATGCAGGCTTTCGCTGAAGCCTGGAGAGTGAGAGGGGTCGGTGCGCACCGACCCCTCTCGCTCTCCAGGCTTCAGGAAGCTATCCGCTAGCCATGGGAGACCCAGCTCTCCCACGGCTAGCGGACCGCTGCGCTAATCCAGAAGCTTGGGGCGTGCGGAGCACAGCGCGCCCCAAGCTTCTGGGTGCCGGCAAGGTCTCGCTAGCCCTGGGAGAGCCCCGCGACGTTGCGTGGCTCTCCCAGGGCTAGCGAAGCGCCGCGCTAATCCCGAAGCTTGGGGCGCGTGGAGCTCAGCGCGCCCCAAGCTTCTGGGTGCCGGCAAGGTCTCGCTAGCCCTGGGAGAGCCCCGCGACGTTGCGTGGCTCTCCCAGGGCTAGCGAAGCGCCGCGCTAATCCCGAAGCTTGGGGCTTCGGGATTAGCGCTCCGCTCAGCCTGCTTCCCGGAGCGCCAGGCGCCCTGAAAGCAGAGCTCCAGGCGCTTTGGGAACACATCCGCAGCATGGGGAGCCTTGCAGGAATTCCCCACAGGGCTCCCCACGCTGCGGATAGCAGCCTGCTGCCTGGCGGGTGGGGCGCCCTGAAGCAGAGCGCCCCTCGTGCCAGGCAGACATCCGCAGAGTGGGGAGGCTTGCAGGAGTTCCCGACAAGGCTCCCCACGCTGCGGATAGCAGCCTGCTGAAGCAGAGCGCCCCTCGCGCCAGGCAGACATCCGCAGAGTGGGGAGGCTTGCAGGAGTTCCCCACAGGGCTCCCCACGCTGCGGATAGCAGCCTGCTGCCTGGCGGGTGGGGCGCCCTGAAGCAGAGCGCCCCTCGCGCCAGGCATACATCCGCAGAGTGGGGAGCCTTGCAGGAGTTCCCGACAAGGCTCCCCACGCTGCGGATAGCAGCCTGCTGCCTGGCGGGTGGGGCGCCCTGAAGCAGAGCGCCCCTCGCGCCAGGCAGACATCCGCAGAGTGGGGAGGCTTGCAGGAGTTCCCGACAAGGCTCCCCACGCTGCGGATAGCAGCCTGCTGCCTGGCGGGTGGGGCGCCCTGAAGCAGAGCGCCCCTCGCGCCAGGCAGACATCCGCAGAGTGGGGAGGCTTGCAGGAGTTCCCGACAAGGCTCCCCACGCTGCGGATAGCAGCCTGCTGCCTGGCGGGTGGGGCGCCCTGAAGCAGAGCGCCCCTCGCGCCAGGCAGACATCCGCAGAGTGGGGAGGCTTGCAGGAGTTCCCCACAGGGCTCCCCACGCTGCGGATAGCAGCCTGCTGCCTGGCGGGTGGGGCGCCCTGAAGCAGAGCGCCCCTCGCGCCAGGCAGACATCCGCAGAGTGGGGAACCTTGCAGGAGTTCCCCACAGGGCTCCCCACGCTGCGGATAGCAGCCTGCTGCCTGGTGGGTGGGGCGCCCTGAAGCAGAGCTCCCCACCCGCCGGACAGACATCGGCCAGCCCCACAAGCTTGGGGGACAGCAGGGAGGCGCAGCGCCACTATCCCGCTGTTCCTCGACCTGGTTCGGTTTCCCTGACCTGCTTTTGGGGGGGAAATAAAGGGGAAAATTTTTTCCTTTATTTCCCCCCCAAAAAACTAGGTGCGTCCTATGGTCCGGTGCGTCCAATCGTGCGAAAAATACGGTACTACCTCCACCACTGGAGGCAGTAGGTCTCTAAATACCGTATTTTTCGCCCCATAGGATGCACTTTTTCCTCTCCAAAAATGAAGGGGAAATGTGTGTGCGTCCTATGGGGCGAATGCAGGCTTTCGCTGAAGCCTGGAGAGCGAGAGGGGTCGGTGCACACCGACCCCTCTTGCTCTCCAGGCTTCGCGCACATCTCCGCAAGCCGTGGGAGCCCGCGCCGGGTTCCCGCGGCTTGCGGAGAGTTGCCTGCATGCTGAAGGCTGGGTGCGCTGAGCTCAGCACGCCCAGACTTCGCGCAGCTCTCCGCAAGGCGCGGGAGCCCGGCGCTGGGCTCCCGTGGCTTGCGGAGAGTTGCCTGCACGCCGAAGGCTGGGCGCACTGAGCTCAGCGCGCCCAGACTTCGTGCACCTCTCCGCAAGGTGCGGGAGCCCGGCGCTGGGCTCCCATGGCTTGCAGAGAGTTGCCTGTCCTGGGGCCTGGGGTCGGGGGAAGCTCAAGCTTCCCCCGCCCCAGCCCTGCGCCTGGGGAAAAAAATAATTTCCCCCCCTTTATTTCCCCCCAAAAAAACTAGGTGCGCCTTATGGGACGGTGCGTCCTATAGGGCGAAAAATACGGTACCAGTTGTGTGGAATTGAAGATTGGGAAAGTGCTGTTGTGCTCATGTTCTGCTTTTGGGCTTCGCATGGGCAGCTGGCTGGTCACTATGAGAAGAGGATGCTAACTAGATGGGCCTTGGAACTGATCTAGCAGGCTCTTCTTATGTCATTATAATTGCTGTCTTTATTGTTTTTGTTTTATAGCATATTTTAATTACAGATTTTTAAAAAGTGTTTCGACTGAATTATTTTATTGTGTATTTTGATGATGTGTGGATTCTAATTGATTTTATACTTGCAAACCACTTTGAAGTCAGGTAAGCAGTATTAACAAATTAATAAATAATAATAATAAATAGTCAAATAGAAAGGAATGTCTCTTGCCTGTATCTGTGTGTCTCCTCTTTCAGCCAAAAACTTGTAGTACTGATGTACATCCCAGTCCAAGATTTCTGTATCAAAACCCAGATTTTCTGATCTTTCCATCAGCTTCACTTTTTCAACTGGCTTATCTTCATTTTCTTCTAATTTGCTTGCAACTAATAATAATAATAATAATAATAATAAATTCCAAGTAACACAAATTAGAACAACCGCTTCCTACAATCTGAGAAGATTTCATTCTTCCTTTCCATGATGTAGTCAATGTAGTACCCTCCAGATGTTCTGAACGACAACTTCCATCACTCTTGACATTGGTCATGCTAGGTCACCTTAAACACAGTGATGGAGGAGGCAGGTCCAATCTACTTGCACCACCACCCTCACACATGTATTTACAGTTCCCTAATCGTAATGCCTACATAAGGCTTCGGTCAACTTGCTTTGTCACTTGGGACTGTATTTTAGTACAAATAAACATAACAAAAAGTGTTTGGATTTGATATCCTGCTTTATCACTACCCTAAGGAGTCTCAAAGCAGCTAACAATCTCCTTTCCCTTCCTCCCCCACAACAAACACTCTGTGAGGTGAGTGAGGCTGAGAGACTTCACAGAAGTGTGACTAGCCCAAGGTCACCCAGCAGCTGCATGTGGAGGAGCAGAGACGCGAACCCGGTTCCCCAGATTACGAGTCTACCGCTCTTAACCACTACACCACACTGGCTCTTTTGTCAGACAAGTAACTGGATTCCTGGGATTAGGGCTGGCCCACCCGTGAGGCAAGGTGATGTGACTGCCTCAGGCAGCAGGATCCACAGGGGCAGCAGATTTGACGTCCAAGGAAGGCATCGTCTGCTGCTACTGCCAGTGCCATAGTGGCAGCATCAGCTGCAGCTTGCTCCTTGGAGGCCAGATCTGCTGTGTCCTTGGCTGCCTCCCCCAGTGCTGCCTCTACAGTGGCCTCTTGGTGAAAAGGGGGTGCTGTTGGTCCCCCTCAACCTTCGTTCTCAAGGTAGACCTTTATTCCCCCCTTGTTCCTGATGCACATCGTCACTAATCCCTTCTTCCCTGGTGGGGATGGAGCGTGCCATTCTCAGGTTCACCTCAGGTGCCAAAAAGTATTGGGCCATGCCTGCCTGGGATCTTGGAAAATTTGTTCTTTTCATATGTTAATAATTTGAGTGAGAATCGTGTCCTCTGCCCCCCATGAGGGTCTGGTATTTCTTAGTCTTTAAGGTGCCACAGGACTCTTGAAAGAGCAAACAAAAACAAAAGTGGCACTTTCAAACAAGGCAAGATACAATAGATGAAGGCCACCTACTGTAATCTGCAACTTTCTTGTAATAAATAAGTGCTGCTTCACAGCTCCTTGGAACATTGATTCCTAACCAGTAACGATAGCCCTGATGGGGGAAAATTCACAATTATTTTAATTATCACTCAAGCCTCTAGAATTGGAAATTCAAAATATGTGATTTACAAACCAAGATCATCTGGGATATAAGATTTCCCCCATTACTTGCGAATGTGTAGTAAACAAGTGCCTAAAGAGGGGGAAAAATAAAATCATAAAATCATGCCAGGTTTTTCTTCTTCGAAAAACACAAAATATAGATGAAAGACTTCAATGACAATAGGGTAAAGTCAGCACAGAATGTTATTACCTTTGATTGACTGTATTCCACTCCTATTCCATATGAAGACAAGAAACCTAATGCCTATGGGGAAAAATAAAGTAAAAAGTTCAGTCAATCCTTTTGCTTTTCAGTTGCTTATATTGTTAACAGTTGTCTTAGGCCCAATTCTCATGCGGTAAAATTATCTTTAAGTTATTTTACCATGTCAGTTTCATGTAATCAGGGCTTAGCATTAATGCACTTGTGCAGAGAGTCAGCAGGTATATTTACTGCAGCCCCCCATGAAATGTAGGAGAATGAAATTTTCCAAAGTAGTAAATGTTTATCTGGGCTCTACCATTTCAGACTGCTTACATGGCTGGATGCTTCCTTCAACCACTGAGAGGACCTCTAAATTCTCTGCTTTCCTTATCTAGGGACAACATCCTCAGAGGTAGCATGTGAATTGCAGCCAGGGAAAGTAAGGCAAATGTAGGCTTGGCATTTTGGGCAAGAAGTGCAAAGAAAAATAAAATAAAATAAAATAAAATATAATAAAACCACATTGAGATGCACATTGAGATTGCTTCCCTTCTTGTTCTGCTGATGGAAATCTTACTGTCAGCTCAACAACACCACTAGATACAACCCATAATCTAAAAACGTATGCAAATATTTTATTTCTTTTCCCTCTGAAAGTGTTGTAATCCTAAACTTGAAGAGGACCTAAGAAGGCTAGGCTTTGGAATTTTTGAGAACCGATATCTGAAAATGAAGCTCTCAAAATGTGAAATGGACTTTCTGAAAATGGCCATCACAATTGGGAGGTATAAGCAGATGACAAAAATATATGGGGGCAAACAAACCAAAGCGAGAAAGTCAAGGCAGAGTATGCTTAAATAAGAAATTTTCATGAAGCCGTCACATTGCTCATGTCTTTGAACAATGACACATAAATATATGATACAGACATTTTCAGGTTACATTAAGGCAATATATGAGAATACTATGTGAACACACACATACGTGTGTTTTCATATATTCCCCTTTGCAAATTTTCTGTGCGTAACTATATAAACATCGCACTGAGAACAAAGTTAAAGCGGCAGACAGGCTGTGATGTGACTGTATATAGACTCCTTGAGGCACAGGCGTGTGCTTCGATCTTTGTACAAAATGAATTCTAGATTTATTCCGGCCAGTCTTGGTTCAAGGTTATAGACATGGACAAGATTAATTGGTGGAACATTGTGTCACAGAAAAGATGTAACATGGAAAAAATAATGGTGCTTCTGAATAAAGAAAAACTAAATTTCTATATCATAACTTTGTTCCTCACAAATAGTTATAAGACAGTTTAAAATAGGTCACTGAGCTAAAATTTAATTCAGGGATGTCCAACCTTTGTATCGTCGGACATTCCATTTTCCAGACCATGGTCCAGAGGATGGAAATGTATTTACAATGGAAAGTGACCTCCTCCTATGGTCAGGATCCACAATAAAGCTGTGCTATTTAGCTGTTTCACAAGGAAATGAGGAAACATATGTGCTTGGGTGTAGTGTTCTGCTGGACTGAGGTCCAGCGCCGAGGGCCTTCTGGTGGTTCCCTCACTGCGAGAAGCAAAGGTATAGGGAACCAGGCAGAGGGCCTTTTCGGTAGTGGTGCCCACCCTGTGGAATGCCCTCCCATCAGATGTCAAAGAGATAAACAACTACCTGACATTTAGAAGACATCTGCAGGCAGCCCTGTTCAGGGAAGTTTTTTAATGTGTGACATTTTAATGTATTTTTAAACTTTGTTGGAAGCCACCCAGAGTGGCTGGGGAGGCCAAGCCAGATGGGTGGAGTACAAATAAATTGTTGTTGTTGTTGTTGTTGTTGTTGTTGTTGTTGTTATTATTTTAAAGTGATGCAACATTAAACAACATGAAAACATTTTCCCTTTCCTCTGAAACGTTTCTTAATGATACTCCTGAAGATACTTCAACATTTATTATAATGTGTAGTTCTGCACATTCCAGAGGAACACTAATGTGACACCTTGGAGACAGAAAGCCTTGTTGTGGGATCACATTTCATGGCCTAGAACCTATAATATATAATTTTTTTATTTATACCCCGCCCATCTGGCTGGGTTGCCCTAGCCACTTTTGGCAGATTCTAACACAAATAAAAACACAATAAAACATCAAACATTAATAGTAACAATCTGATCCAATATAAAAAGTCCCAATAACTTTAAAATAAAGAAACAAAACAGCATTCAACAATCCATCAGAGTCTAACAGTAAACAGTAAAATTAAAGATCAGCAAATAATAATTTAAACAGTTTACGCTTATCAGTTACAATAAAGAACAGGGGTCAGCAAACTTTTTCAGCAGGGGGCTGGTCCACTGTCCCTCAGACCTTGCGGGGGGCCGGGGTATATTTGGGGGGGGGGCGGAGAACGGTGGCGGAGGGACAATGAGCGGCGCGTGAAAGGGCTCCGGAGAGGGGCTGCTTAAAATGGCAGCCGCTCAAGTGCTGCTGCTGCTGCTGGCACCAACAAAGCACAGCCCCCTTCCTCCTCTAGGCAGGGCGGGGAGAAGCCAGGAGGAGGGAGGGAGGAGGCGGCGGTGCCGCCGCTGTGTGTGAGAGAGGGAAAGAACGTGCACACTGGCGATCCACGCGGTGATTCCTGGACCGTCCATGGGCTGGATCCAGAAAGCAGTTGGGTTTGATCTGGCCCACAAACCTTAGTCTGCCTACCCATGATAAAGAATTACTAATCTATAATCAATAAAAATAACGGCAAATCACAATGCATAAAATACCACAAAGATTACAAAATCATGTAAAAGGATCGAATTGAAAAACAAGGACACACAGCTTATAAAACTATTCTTAAATAATATCCCATGACTTCTCTCTTCCCAGCTGCTTCTGCTATTCTCAAAGTCATGGTCGGGAAAGCCTCCCAGGGCTGGAGTGTGGGGCAAGGCAGGTGGAAAAGCCATTGCCTGGTGACCATAAAACAATGAACCTGCATCACGTGATGCACATGGACACTAATCCACAAAAGCTTACAGCACAATAAATATGTTACAGCAACATCCAAGGTTGGTCATACTGAGAATAGACACAATGAAACCAATGGACTCTGCATATGACTTAGTTGGATATCATCCTTCCTGTCTAAGATGCCACAAGACTCTTTCGTTTTTCTTTCAACAAAGCTTTCACTCATCAGAACTCAGTTGGAAGGTAAGAAACCCTGGCAGTAGAGCCCTGCATTATTGAAATGATGAGTGGACTGGAAAGCTTTTGTAAAGCCAATGTGTTTTGGCACATTTGGTCTATCTGTTCTTTAATGACCCATAAACAATTCATGTATTGCTTTTATCCATGTATGTGCACACAGGAAACAATCCGACACATATGCAAAATGCTATGAAAACCTAGACAAAAGATTCAACAATCAGCACAACTTGTGAGATGCCTCTTCATGTTCTGCAACAGAGTCATGCGAAAGGAATGCAAGAGGAGATCCATTTGTGATTTATTAGACAAGAGACTAGTCTGAGCAACTGAATTTGCAGCCGATCTCTTACGCATAGTTGTTTTTTTTTGCTATTATTTTGTGTCATCCATAGATCCTTTTCAATTAAAATTGATAATTTGCCTTAAATCAGAACATGTTAGACACACTAGCTAGGTGCGAAAATATAATTAGTTCTTATATCTTCAATTCTAACAACCGTAAACATTTGATTTTTGTTCCATGGAAACCATTGTCTACCTTCGGAGTGTCTTTAGTGGAATAAGGACTGAAGCCTTGACCTGGAATTTTATTGAACAAGGATTTTAGAAGATGTTTGCTGAACACACCAGATAGCCTCTTGAAATCAGGCAATTTAATAAATAATTAACTTTATATCCCTACCTTGTTGACATTTCTTGGCTGAGCATAAACACCATCTTACCTCTTTTCAAATATTTATGCACTCTAAAGTAGACTAGTGCCTGTTTAAAGCTTTGGCTAATTAAAGAGCACGTACCGTCTGGCCTTTATGAGATCCTTCGTCAGCTAAAATCTCATACAATGATACAGCTGCTTCTACATTTTGCGGAACATTATTTCCAAACAACATGTCAGATGCCAGTTGCTCCATAGCTTTCTGGTTTCCGATTTTTGCTGCTTTGACAAGGAGCTGGTGGGCTCTGATCCAGAAACACAAAGTTCAGATTTAGTCCGTCGGATATGGAAATTTCTCATCTATACATAAAACAGGAATTTATTCTGCTGTAACTTTGCATTAGAAGTTTTCCCCCTTCATCACCATAGACCGGGCCGTCTTTAAGCATATGCAGCACTGGGGTGCAAAGAGCTGCCTGGTGCCCCTAGGTTGCCCAGAGTTGTCAACCTTTTTTGGGGGGGGACAAAGTTGTTGACCTTTTTTTTAGGAAATAGTTGTTTACCTTTAGACGCAGGGACTCACAGCACCAACCAACAGGTGTGCCAGCGCTCCATGCACAGGAGTCTACATAGGTGGGTGCAGGTTCCATGCTGGGGGGGGGCAAAATGTTGGGCAGCACAGTCGCCACACTATCCGCCCGCTGCCTCCCCCCTGCTGCATGGCGGCTAACTGTTTTGGCTGCACATGCAGCGCTCGGAGCACCGTGTAACGTTGTGGGCGCTGCACAACGCATCCTGTTGCATGCGCCAAGCTGCGGGTTCCTTTGCTGGCTTTTCCGCTGTTGGAACATGCTCCCAGCGCCGCCCAATGTGGGGTGCCAGCACAGAACAACTGGGAAGGCAAGTGGCAGCAGAGGAAAGATCTTCAGATGGGATTTGTGTGCTCCTATTTGTCGGGTTGAAAGAGTGGTGAAAAAAGAGTGGTGAAAGCTGTACTGGGATGCAATCTCAAAAATGATAGAATGATCTCGATACGAATCCAAGGCAGACCTTTTAACATCACAGTAATCCAAGTTTATGCACCAACTACTGGTGCTGAAGAAACTGAAATTGACCAATTCTATGAAGACTTACAAGACCTTATAGAAGTGACACCAAAGAAGGATGTTCTGCTCATAATAGGGGATTGGAATGCTAAAGTAGGGAGTCAAGAGATAAAAGGAACAACTGGCAAGTTTGGCCTTGGAGTTCAAAACGAAGCAGGGCAAAGGCTAATAGAGTTCTGTCAAGAGAACAAGCTGGTCATCACAAACACTCTTTTCCAACAACACAAGAGACGACTCTACACATGGACATCACCAGATGGGCAGCATCGAAATCAGATTGATTATATTCTCTGCAGCCAAAGATGGAGAAGCTCTATACAGTCAGCAAAAACAAGACCTGGAGCTGACTGTGGCTCAGATCATCAGCTTCTTATAGCAAAATTCAAGCTTAAACTGAAGAAAGTAGGAAAAACCACTGGGCCGGTAAGATACAATCTAAGTCAAATCCCTTATGAATACACAGTGGAAGTGAGGAACAGGTTTAAGGATTTAGATTTGGTGGACAGAGTGCCTGAAGAACTATGGATGGAGGCTCGTAACATTATACAAGAGGCAGCAACTAAAACCATCCCAATGAAAAGGAAATGCAAGAAAGCAAAGTGGCTGTCCAACGAGGCCTTACAAATAGCGGGGGAGAGAAGGCAAGCAAAATGCGAGGGAGATAGTGAAAGATACAGGAAATTGAATGCAGATTTCCAAAAAATAGCAAGGAGAGACAAGAAGGCCTTCTTAAACGAGCAATGCAAAGAAATAGAGGAAAACAATAGAATGGGAAAAACCAGAGATCTGTTCAAGAAAATTGGAGATATGAAAGGAACATTTTGTACAAAGATTTCCATAATAAAAGACAAAAGTGGAAAGGACCTAACAGAAGCAGAAGACATCAAGAAGAGGTGGCAAGAATACACAGAGGAACTATACCAGAAAGAAATTGATGTCTCGTATACCCCAGGTAGTGTGGTTGCTGACCTTGAGCCAGACATCCTGGAAAGTGAAGTCAAATGGGCCTTAGAAAGCATCGCTAATAACAAGGCCAGTGGAAGTGATGATATTCCAGCTGAATTATTTAAAATTTTAAAAGATGATGCTGTTAAGGTGCTACACTCAATATGCCAGCAAATTTGGAAAACTCAGCAGTGGCCAGAGGATTGGAGAAGATCAGTCTACATCCCAATCCCAAAGAAGGGAAGTGCCAAAGAATGCTCCAACTACCGCACAATTGCACTCATTTCACACGCTAGCAAGGTTATGCTTAAAATTCTACAAGGCAGGCTTAAGCAGTATGTGGACCGAGAACTCCCAGAAGTGCAAGCTGGATTTAGAAGAGGCAGAGGAACCAGAGACCAAATTGCAAACATGCGCTGGATTATGGAGAAAGCTAGAGAGTTCCAGAAAGACATCTACTTCTGCTTCATTGACTATGCAAAAGCCTTTGACTGTGTCGACCACAGCAAACTATGGCAAGTTCTTAAAGAAATGGGAGTGCCTGATCACCTCATCTGTCTCCTGAGAAATCTCTATGTGGGACAAGAAGCTACAGTTAGAACTGGATATGGAACAACTGATTGGTTCAAAATTGGGAAAGGAGTACGACAAGGCTGTATATTGTCCCCCTGCTTATTTAACTTATATGCAGAATTCATCATGCGAAAGGCTGGGCTGGATGAATCCCAAGCCGGAATTAAGATCGCCGGAAGAAATATCAACAACCTCAGATATGCAGATGACACAACCTTGATGGCAGAAAGTGAGGAGGAATTAAAGAACCTTTTAATGAGGGTGAAAGAGGAGAGCGCAAAATATGGTCTGAAGCTCAACATCAAAAAAACGAAGATCATGGCCACTGGTCCCATCACCTCCTGGCAAATAGAAGGGGAAGAAATGGAGGCAGTGAGAGATTTTATGTTCTTGGGCTCCATGATCACTGCAGATGGTGACAGCAGTCACGAAATTAAAAGACGCCTGCTCCTTGGGAGAAAGGCGATGGCAAATCTAGACAACATCTTAAAAAGTAGAGACATCACCTTACCAACAAAGGTCCGTATAGTTAAAGCCATGGTTTTCCCAGTAGTGATGTATGGAAGTGAGAGCTGGACCATAAAGAAGGCTGATCGCCGAAGAATTGATGCTTTTGAATTATGGTGCTGGAGGAGACTCTTGAGAGTCCCATGGACTGCAAGAAGATCAAACGCATCCATTCTTAAGGAAATCAGACCTGAGTGCTCACTGGAAGGACAGATCGTGAAGTTGAGGCTCCAATACTTTGGCCACCTCATGAGAAGAGAAGACTCCCTGGAAAAGACCCTGATGTTGGGAAAGATGGAGGGCACTAGGAGAAGGGGACGACAGAGGACGAGATGGTTGGATAGTGTTCTCGAAGCTACAAACATGAGCCTGACCAAACTGCGGGAGGCAGTGGAAGACAGGAGTGCCTGGCGTGCTCTGGTCCATGGGGTCACGAAGAGTCGGACACGACTAAACGACTAAACAACAACAACAATTTGTCGGGTTTTGTTGCCGCCATTGGCGCTGTTGGCATGTGGTGGATCCCATCTGGAGATGTTTCCTCTGCTGCCGCTTGCATTCCCCATCATTCTGTGCTGGCACCTCATGTTGGGTGGCACTGGGAGCGTGCGCCAAAAGCAGAAAAGCCAGTGTGCTGTAGTGGTTAAGAGCGGTAGTCTCGTAATCTGGGGAACCGGGTTCACTTCCCCGCTCCTCCACATGCAGCTGCTGGGTGACCTTGGGCTAGTCACACTTCTTTGAAGTCTCTCAGCCTCACTCACCTCACAGAGTGTTTGTTGTGAGGGAGGAAGGGAAAGGAGAATGTGAGCCGCTTTGAGACTCCTTTGGGTAGTGATAAAGTGGGATATCTTCTTCTTCTTCAAAGGAACCCACAGCTCGGTGCACGCAACAGGATGCATCGTGCAGTGCCCACAACGTTATGCGGCGCTCCAGGTGCTCCAACGTTATGCGGCGCTCCAGATGTGGGTTGACACATGGCTGATTATAAAAGGACCCCTCCATAGGTGTGCTTCATAAGTCTATCATTGCAAATCTCTACAAGAAAAACTCACTCTTGCATTGGCAATGGAACCATACAAATTAATAGGAAAGGGAGAAACATGGCCACATGTACCTATTCCATCCTTCTAAAGTCTCCAAGAAGACAGGAGTGCCTGGCGTGCTCTGGTCCATGGGGTCACGAAGAGTCAGACACGACTAAACGACTAAACAACAACAAAGTCTCCAAGAGAGACTGTGCCAGCCATGTGCCAGACCTGCACATAAACCGATTTATGCCTTCTCTGGGACTGCGTTAGCAAAACAGCTAAGCCTACACTTACTTTTCTGTATCTTCTTTGTTTTTGGAATGCTTCAGTATTTTGAGGCTTCTCTGATAAAACTGATGACCTTTGTCCTTTCTTTCCACCTCCTCTTCCACTAGAAATGTGACCAGAAAAAACATTGTGATGCAACTCCACGATGTATCGCCAGAGATTTAAATCATGCGCTCTTTTGATAGGGTGCATGTAATAAGCAACATTTCTGTTTTTGAATTCTGGTGAATGCTAGAGTGGAATTTAAATATAAGGTTTCAAATGAGATTTGCACATGAATTGAGCCACCCTTAAAGCACAGTGCGTTTGATGTAATACAGTATGTGGTTACTAAAGATATCTTATACTGCCAAGCCCCATTAAGCATTTATGAATCCCCTTCACTGAAAGCACTAGAGTTAGAGCCTTAACCCACCTACCCATTACAAGTTTAAATAGGAGTGCATTGTGCCATAGCAATGAATGAGTGGCATTTATATCCTCAAACCTTGATGATTTCAAATTGTTTCCATGGTTCTCATCCCATCTTCCTGTCTGCTTTCAAAGTTCATTGGCCCTTTCTCTTGGATACACACCCTTCCTCTTCCTCCAACACATACACAATATTTCACAAAAGCATACATGTTGGGTTCTTTCCCCAACAAGTAGTAGCCTTTCTTTTTGGCCCCAAGGCTCCCATCATTCTCTCTGAAATCTCATCTCTTCCTCCATCACTCTAGGAGCCAAACCAAATGAGTCATAGGGATTTTGTGGCCAGATCTCCCATCATTTTTCATTTCCATTCTAAAACAGCCATGCAGAGGCTCTGAATTTTTTGATTAGAACATGGCACCAGGAGAGAAAGTGTTCAACCCTTACCCCCTACAGTTTCCCTAGTCTAAATCCCCTTTCCTCAAAGCTGTTGTTATTAACTCCACTGAGGGAAATATACACTTAACTTCCCCAGTATTTTTTTTCATCAGTAGGACAAATATCAGCTAGAGAGAGGAGCGAAATGTTGGACTGAACTTCAGATAGACTTCAAAGTAATAATAAAATGAATCAGTTTTGATCGCAGATATCTCACACTGTGCCTACTTTGGTTTTAAGATGCTGTTTCATCATTGGAGTGACAGCGGGGGAGTCACTTTTCTGAGGTGTCTTTCCTAGACACTGCTGCAACATTTAAAGGCCCCAAATCATGTGGTCAGGGCTAACCACACAATTTCTTCCCTTCAGATTATGCTTGCTTGGGAAAGGCCCACTCAAGTATCTGCACCTAAATTGAGGAGGGCAATTAAACATTCCACCAACCTCAATCTGCCCTCAGCCTCCACTTCCTGCCTTCTTATTTACCATATTTTTTGCCCTATAGGACGCACTTTTTCCCCTCCAAAAATGAAGGGGAAATGTTTGTGCGTCCTATGGGGCGAATGCAGGCTTTCCCTGAAGCCTGGAGAGCGAGAGGGGTCGGTGCGCACCGACCCCTCACGCTCTCCAGGCTTCGCACACCTCTCCGCAAGCAGCTGGGAGCCCAGCGCTGGGCTCCCGCTGCTTGCAGAGAGTTGCCTGCATGCTGAAGCCTGCGCGTGCTGAGCTCAGCGCGTCCAGGCTTCGCGGATCTCTCCGCAAGCAGCGGGAGCGCTCCCGCTGCTTGCAGAGAGCTGCCTGTTTGGGGGCTGGGGTCGGGGGAAGCTCGAGCTTCCCCCGCCCCAGCTCCGCGCCTGGGGGAAAAAAATAATTTCCCCCCCTTTATTTCCCCCCAAAAAACTAGGTGCGCCTTATGGGACGGTGAGTCCTATAGGGCGAAAAATACAGTACATCCCATCCAAGGAGCAGGCACTGGCTGTCAGCTTTGTCTTCCTTAGTCTCAGTGTTGTCCTTAGAAGGAGGAGGAGCAGGACAGAGCCAAAACTAGCATTTGCTGGCTTTGTCCTTCATTTGCTCCAGATTTACCTAGCTTATAGGGACACGGGTGGCGCTGTGGGTTAAGCCACAGAGCCTAGGACTTGCCGATCAGAAGGTCGGTGGTTCGAATCCCCGTGACGGGGTGAGCTCCCGTTGCTCGGTGCCAGCTCCTGCCCACCTAGCAGTTTGAAAGCAGGTCAAAGTGCAAGTAGATAAATAGGTACCGCTCCTGCGGGAAGGTAAACGGTGTTTCCATGTGCTGCTCTGGTTCACCAGAAGCGGCTTAGTCATGCTGGCCACATGACCCGGAACGCCAGCTCCCTCAGCCAATAAAGTGAGATGAGCGCGGCAAACCCAGAGTCAGTCACGACTGGACCTAATGGTCAGGGGTCCCTTTACCTTTACCTAGCTTCTGCCTTCTGTCCCACCAGACTCAATGGGCTTTAGCCATCGCTGCCCACAACTGTATATTCATAGGAAACTGCCTTATATGGAGTCAGGCCATTGTCTACACCAGAGCTTTCCAAGCTTTTCCTGTTGGTGGCACACTTTTTCGCCATGCATCATTTCGCGACACTGAAATTCAGTTTTACTAGCAAACTGGAGGTTAAACTAACCCCTTTCCAGCCCCGGGAGGAGCATGGGGAGCGTTCGAGCAACACATCTACACACTGCAGCCGACACACCAATGTGTCGTGACAGCTTGGAAAGCTCTGGTCCACACACACTGGCAGCAGCTGTCTACTGTCTTAGAAAAAGGTCTTTCTGAGTCCCACCTGAAGATACCAAGGATTGAACCAGAGGCCTTTTTGCAGGCAAAGCGTGTACTCTACTACTGAGTTACATTCCTTGAAGAATAAGAAGAAAGGCTGGCATAATTTTATCCTCCGCAATTGTCAGGCACTGGGCAAATTCGAATTTATTTATCACACTTAGTTCAAACAAACACCTCATAGTTATGCACAGCTAGAATGGTACACAAACTGGCTTCTGTCCCTAACTAATGCACCATCTTGTGCTTGACAAGTAGAGCATGCCATTCTGAGAGAGAGTGTCCACTAGCAACAAATATGTTGTAAGTGTCTAATACCAACTATAAGGCACATGGGATCATGCTGACATAGTGAGCTTGGTGATGGCTATAATGCTACTGGTGCTTGGCTTCTTTCTTTCTTTCTTTCTTTCTTTCTTTCTTTCTTTCTTTCTTTCTTTCTCTGTCTACAGCACAGGGGAGGATTTGTTGTAATTGTGTAGGCAAAGCGTAAGCCTACTTTCCCTGCATGCTGTGTTCACGGGGGGTGGGGGAATCACTCACACACCTGTAATTTATTTTATTTAAACCATGACATGATAGGGAGGGACACAACTAGTGTCATGTGCATGGGCATTGCCAGGAGTTGGGGGGGGCAGAACCTCAGTTTGCTATGTATTTTTATTGGTTTTTATTGGTTTGGGGGGGCAGCTGCCCCTCCTTGCCCCCCCCCCGCCCCCGCTGCACCCATGGTCATGTATAATTAAACTCTTAGGAATGTGGAATCAAAACTCTAGTGCTTACGAAGTTTCACATGGACGTCTTCTATAAGGTGAGCTGAATGGGGTTCTGCGATTCATAACTAGATATTTATAAAGTGTCAAAGAAAGTTCTGGATAAAGTTTGCATTAATTCACAAATTGCTGACCACTTCATTGTCCGACCTAGTTTCCCCAGTTCTGTCAGCGCTTCTTGCTCCCGAATGTTTTTGCTCTTCTGATATGAGCAAAAATAGCCAGTCATGCCACATTTTGCATTCTTTTAAAACATGCAGTCAAGTTGACAAGCACATCTTCATGGATTCCTATTTTCCAGTGGAAAATCAATATTGACATTTTTTTAAAAAAAGCATGGGCTTCCAAAGATGTGTTTTTTTGTGGTGGTTATTATCTTGTTGTTGTTTAGTCGTTTAGTCGTGTCCGACTCTTTGTGACCCCATGGACCAGAGCACGCCACGTTATTATCTAACTTACGTGAAATATACTATTCCTTATTTTAATTAAGAGTAAGAAAACTCGCATTGAGATTATGATGTTGATTATCAGCTAACATTCTAACAGTGCAATCCTAGATGTGTCTGCTCAGATGTAAGTCCTGCTTACTCCCAGATACGTGTGTATAGGATTGCAGGCTGACCTGGGAGTAAGTTCCACTGAATTCAGTGAGGTTCGCTTTCAAGTAGATATGCAATTGTGATGTAACAGTATTTTATATTAGATTCCCTCTCTGCTGTTAACTCTTGGCTGGCCTTGAAAAAGATGCATGTATTCATTTAAGACTGGCACTGGGGGAAAGTTGTGCTCTTGTGCCTTCAATAGCTCTGTGGCATACATTCAACATGTTAAACATTTCTAGTACAGTGGTACCTTGGGTTAAGTACTTAATTCGTTCCGGAGGTCTGTTCTTAACCTGAAACTGTTCTTAACCTGAAGACCACTTTAGCTAATGGGGCCTCCTGCTGCTGCCGCGTCGCCGGAGCATGATTTCTTTTCTCATCCTGAAGCAAAGTTCTTAACCCAAGGTACTATTTCTGGGTTAGCAGAGTCTGTAACCTGAAGCGTATGTAACCTGAAGCATATGTAACCTGAGGCACCATTGTATATAAATACAAATATAGGAAAACCTTCCCCTGTTCAGATTCTGTCAGACATTTTATTACATGTGTGTCTACTGATTTATTTTTGAGTCCTCTCCACCTGAGAAAGAGAACACAAATTTGCATGTGATGCAAAGCACGTGCACATTTTGTGCAAATCTGTGCTCTCTTTTTGCAAGTTGTTTTGAGGGACCGATGCACATAAAGGGTATTGGGCACACAAAAATTCCTACTGGCACCCCTGATAGAACATGGTCTCATTATACTATCATTTTGCCAATTCTGAATTAAGTGAGATTTTATAGCAGAGTCGTGAGAAAACTGGGTAGGGAGATTTTATTATTTTTTCTATTGAAAACATTTTTTTAAAAATTACAGTGGTACCTTGGTCTACAAAGAGCCCTGTTAACAAACTATTCAGTGAACGAACTCTGCAAAACCAGAAGTAGGTGTTCTGGTTAGCGAACTTTGCCTCAGAAGCCAAACTGAAGCTGATTGGTGGAAGGGCACTGGTGGTGGGAGGCCTCAGTAGGGAAAGTGTGCCTCGGTTTAAGTACGCTTTGGTTTAAGAATGGACTTCTGGAACAAATTAAGTTCGTAAACCGAGGTACCACTGTACTGATTCAGAAAGCTTTTAAAGCTCAAATTTTGCCTAACACTCCGAGAGAATATACAAAAGATCTGAGGGAGTAGGAGACAATTAAGCTTTGATTACCTTCTGATGAAAATGAATCTTGAACTGTTAATCTTTTACTCTTGTTCAGGGTCTCCTGCAAAACAATTGAATTTATATATGTAATCTATCTTCAAAATTGAAAGAAATTGTTGTCTGGTCAGGTCCTAGAATCTGCTTAGTTGCTCATACAGGGCTTGTCTACACTTCCGCTTGTCCCATGTCGAGAAAGCATGGGTCTGAGTAATTTCCCACTTGTTCCATGCTTTATAGGCCTGGGTCCGAGCAGTTTCACAGTAAGGATTTAAACAATTTTTTTAATGGCTGTTGCAGAACTACGCTTTCTTTACAAATAACTAAGTAGAATTAAGTGGTTTTTAATTTTGCCCAGATGACATTGCATACATCCCACATTGCTGTGGAGCATGTTATATAATGGCACTTGAGGGATGATATGCAAAATGTGCTCATCTTGAGTGCCTCTTCTTTCACTTTTAACAAAATTCAATTGTTTTTTAATCATGCTTTGCTTCATTTCCAGCTCTAAAATGAGCTCTAGCTATTCACACTCAAAATTGTATTTCAGTTATTTGATTTGATCAACCTGAGCATAATCATCAGAGGCAACTTTTATCCCCAGTCAAGGTTTTTTATTTGCATGAAATGATTCATTTTGCAGCAGCTTCTTTTATTTTCCCTAGAAGGGATTTTGCATTGAGAATAAGAAACAACTATTCATCAGCTATATCATCTATCACTTAGGCTGTGTAAGTCAAAGTCAACTTTGCTGAAGGCAGTCGGCAGAAAGCACTCAGCAGAACGAAGTTACTGTGACCGTTTGAAATGAAGCAAGAACTTAACAAGGAAACACAAAAATCTCATAGCATGGAGAAACATAGCTAATAATCTCTGAGCTCACCTGTACGTTTAGCACAGCAACATAAAAACAGCAAACATAAACAAGGATGGGCATCATTCTTCCACATAATATAAACAACTATTGTTATTTTAAAAGGTTTATAAACCACTCACATTATAAAACATTAGAATAGTGTTTAGAAAACCAAAAATACATCTAAAACACACACCAGAAACAATACAGCTAAGATAACACAGTACAACACCAGAAGATGACCAGCGGACAGCAATTAAATATTTAAGTCAGAAAAGGCTTGGGTAAATAAAGGTCTGGAGCATGTTATCTGAAAGAGTAGAAGCTTGGAACATGCCTTATCTCATAAGGTGATAAATTCCACATTAAAAGGGCCACAACACTGGTGGACACAAGGTAAATACACAGAACTGTTGGAATCGCTAGGAGATAGGGATGGAATCCTTAGGTCGGATACCAAAGTGATCTAATCTGGGAAGATCATGAGATGGATCAGATAATGAAGTCCACTTTAGAATCTCCAGTCCATGGATTCTGGCTGCCTGCACCAGGTGGTCTGAGGGCACTGGAGGCATGCATGTTTTTGCTGCACATTTCTGTTATGTACTGAAGTTCTCACCCTGGGCCAGCAGGGGGATACTGTAGATAGTTATGCAAATGAAGGATCGAAAGTGACGTTCAGTGATTGGATAGTTTTAGAAAGTTGCTACAGTTACGTTGTTCTGGAGCTCTGTATAAGCAGGCTGACTGAGCTTCTCAGTTCAGTTCTGTTCTGGCCTTTGAATAAACAAGAGCTGTTTGAAGAATCGCGGTGTCGTCTGATATGTTCGCCCACAACTTAACAATTTCCCTCTGAGAGCAACAGACCATGAATTCCCATTGTTCCCAAGGAGGACTTGTTCTGTAACAGTTGCAGATCTTGGGGTCTCAAATTTCAGTGGCGCCCCTCTATCTCCTGCACTCCATTGCAGTACACCCTGCAGCATCCCTGAAACTCCACACCCAGTGCGAGTGAACTGGCTGTGCTCCCCTAAATACACCTCTGCCTGTAATGTAATTTAAAGTTCAGAGAGGCGAGGACCCCACACATTTTGAATTGTGTTTCAGAGCCTGTGGGAAGCTGAAAGTCTTACTTCTACATGGAATTTCTTAGAAAATTACTTTCGCATTTCTATGGATATTTTAAAGGATCCTTTGGGGATCCACAAAGCTTAGGATCCAGCAGATTCTAGCCACTGTGGTTTTGTGCCACAAAACACCTCACTTTGTAGCTTTCTGCTTGCTACTGCAGGTGGGAGAATGGCCAGTCGTAGCTTTCTACCTGCTAAGGCAAAGCTGGGGCCTTCACTATGGCAGAGACTTCCAACAGTATTCCTCTCTGCTAGTGGAGGCTGGTAGAGAGGCAACCATGTGTCATCCTAACTCAGCCACTCAACCATCAAGGGGAAGGGGATTAGGATTACATTCCTAATTTGGATCCAACCAAATGCATTTTAACATTGTCTGGGTAGATAGTTTTTCATGTGCACTGTACAAAACACATTTTTGTATGATTCAATCTATTACTAGTTTGGGGCAATAACCTTGACTTCAACAACTGTCTTACTCAGCATGTTGTTATTTCCAAGTACATATCTCTTTTCTTTTCAATTATTTACTTTCTCTTTTCTTATCTAGTGATTTACCCAATAGTAGACTGAATCTTCATGCTATTTATACTGGTCTCATACAGAAAAGAGCCATGTGCTAAAATCTGTTATTTGTTGTTTATTTTAATATACTTTAAGAAGCACAATAAAAATGCAATTCATATACAAACAAAGCAGTTTTTGAAAAGGCGGTAGTGTTTTACCTCTTTTGAAATGTTAACTCCTCTCTTATTCTGAAGAATTTCTTCTGATTCTGAAAACAATAAAGACATCAAATAGAGTACAACTTTTAACAAAAAGGTGTTACAGAGAAACAAGAACATTTTACAGTAAAACAAAGGAAGCCATCTTGGTCCACACACACACACACACAAACAAAAAACAAAACCCACAATGAGACAGGACTTTTACAAAGAAATTATTTTGTTACATTCTGATTGGTCCTTCTTGAACCTCCTTCAGATTAAAAAAAGAGAGGAAAGAATAAAAAATAATAGAATGAGAACTAGTAAAGGCCCAGGAGATTGTCTGGTATTCCTTAACTCAAGGCTACTGAAGGAAAAGATATTACAGTGGTGCCTCGCAAGACGAAATTAATCCGTTCTGCGAGTCTCTTCGTCTTGCAGTTTTTCCGTCTTGCGAAGCACGGCTATTAGCGGCTTAGCGGCTATTAGCGTCTTAGCGGCTATTAACAGCTTAGCGGCTTAGCGGCTATTAACGGCTTAGCGGCTTTAAGAAAAAGGAAACAAACTCGCAAGAACTCGCAAGACGTTTCGTCTTGCGAAGCAAGCCCATAGGGAAATTCGTCTTGCGGAACGACTAAAAAAACGGAAAACCCTTTCATCTAGCGAGTTTTTCGTCTTGCGAGGCATTCGTCTTGCGGGGCACCACTGTACTAAAAAGTAATCAATGTAAATTGACAGTAGACAAGTTTATAACCTGAAAGAGTCATTAAGGATTCAGTTTCAACCTCAGGATCTCTTTCAAAAATGTAGAGCATTGTATGTGCCAAAATGAGCATTAAAATGAATTGGAGCAGGGTTGCTCACAGTGGCTAAGAACTGTACATTCTTTCAGGCTTCCTCCTGCAATCCCCAATGCTGCCTGAAAATCTGCTTTGGAGGGTTGTGGGACCCTCTGGATCAACATGGAAGGTGGTAGTGGGGGTTACAGGGAGAAGGGGAAATAGTTGGAAATTATTTCCCTTTCGCTTCTTCCATTGCGGAGCCTCCACTGGATCTCAATAATGCTCACCAACAAAAGGAGCCCTTCCATTTGCAGAACAGTAGGTCAGGATCTAACCCTTTAAAATACCGTATTTTTCGCTCTATAAGACACACTTTCCCCCTCCTAAAAAGTAAGGGGAAATGTGTGTGCGTCTTATGGAGCGAATGCAGGCGGGAGGCTCTGCTCAGCGCTCCCTTTAAAGAGCCGTGTGGAGCGGGGGGGGGGCTCTTTGGGGCTTTTCCCGAGGAGGGAGATGGGCTACCCTTCTCCCTCCTCGGGAAAAGCCCCCAAGAGCCGCACACACACTCTGCGCGCTCTGTAAAGGAAGCGTGGCTCTTGGGGGAGCCTTAGCTGCGAGCAGCCTCTCCCGGGCAAGGAGAGCCTTCATCGCACTGATCCCTCTTGCCCTCCTGGCTTCAGGGATAGCCCCGCAAAGCCTCCTGGGCGAAGATGGAGGAGGGCTCCCTCTTAGCTCAGGATGCTTTGCGTTGCTTTCTTATTTCTTGTTTTCCTCCCCTAAAAACTAGGTGCGTCCGGTGCGTCTAATAGAGTGAAAAATACAGTAGTTTAATATAATGAATTGGGCTAACAAGATTTGTTTATTGCTAAACACATCCAAAACTACCAAATAGGATGGGCACGTACCTTGCCTAAAAAAGAAAGTAAATGCATCATATTATAGCATTGGTATGAGTTGGTGAAAGTTATACTTCAAATCGTTGCTTTCCCTGTCCAGGAAACTGCCTGGCAGAGAAGCCATCAAGAGGTAATCAGTGGAATGAGCTAGTCATTGACTTAAGAAAAGACACACAGAGAGAACAGATCAGTAAAAGAGAGAGAGAGAGAGAGAGAGAGAGAGACTATTCCGCCGGAGTGCAAGTGGGGAAGTTCCAGATTTGCAGTGGACAGTGATGTAAGCAAATGGTAAAAAAGTGTCAGTTTTGCAAGCTGGAGTGGGAGGGCAGAGCTCAAGGTGTGCTGTCATTTCATGCTGCAGAGAGGGTCAGACACGGTGCTTAAGGTCTATGAATCCAAGCCTGTAGCAATGGAAGGAGCAGGACCCTCTTGGGTTGAGAATGCTCTGCATTCTCTCCATATAGGCTCGGGTTGCAGTAAGATAAAGCATGATATAAGAAATAAAGGGAGCAATAAAAAGCACTAAAATTCAATAGGAGTATTTAATGGATGGCTATACCATCTCCTGTCTTCAACCACAAATCCAGAGACACACCACAGTTTACCTAAATGAGACCTTGGTCCACCGGTGGTCCATGGACCACAATCTGGGAACCCCTGACATATTCAACTTTGCTGGGATAAATAGCTTTTCTAGTTTACTGAATTCTCTTAGCTTCTGTATTTGTTTCTAACTTCCCTGTGAAGTGCAGCTGTACTAGAAAGAAAACTGAGCAGCAGAGACTTCTTTCATATACAGTATAATACAAAATGACATTCACATGAACAAACATACCAGCTATAAATTAATACTCTCTTTTGTCTGGAAGCTTAATTTTTATGTTATCTGGTGGACCTAAAATAATTTCTCTGACAAGTTTAATTAGAATAATAAAGCTCTAGGGACCATATAACCATTTCCCCAGATTCTTGCAGTTATCCAAGCAGACAAAATGAACTTGAAATTACCTAAGGGTGGCAAATACGCAAAGGTTTATGAATGAACAAGATTAACATTAGTTAAAGTGAACCAGTTAGTTAACATTTGTTAGAGTGAACCACTGTCATACATTAGTAAACCTGAGGCAATATTTAGTCCAAGCAAAGTGTTGCACATTTATCCTAGCAGATCTCTTATTACAGAAGATAATAACATTGTTTGGTAAGCAAAATGAACAAGCAAGTAAAAAACCTAAGAGCTCTTACTATGCTGATACTGACTCTCATTTAACTGAAATGTTTAAAATGTTAAAAACAGATGCCTACTAATTTCAAACACTGGAAAAGAGAGGCTTTAATGGTCTGATAACAAGCAGAATCTGACAGTGTAGACCACCATGTCAGCAGGTGACTGACTACAAGGAAATACCGTAATTGTTTCAGATACAGGAATTTAAAAAAACCCTCCAGTTAACAAGGTGCCAATGTGGTTACTAGACTCCTATCATTCTTGACCATTTTTCATGCTGGCTAGGTCTGCACTATACATTTAAAGTAGCATCATACCACTTTAAACAGTCTTGTCTTCCCCCAAAGAATCCGAGGAACCGAAGTTTGTTAAGGGTGCTGAGAGTTCTTAGGAGACCCCTATTCCTACCCAACCCGATAGAATTCCTAGAGTGGTTTAACAATCAATCCCTGTTCACAGGAAGTTCTGGGAATTGCAGTTCTAGTAGAGGAATAGGAGGTCTCCTATCAACTCTATTAACAAACTACACTTCCAAGGATTCTTTGGGGGAAGATGTGGCTGTTTAAAGTGGTATCCTACTGCTTTAAATGTATAGTGCACATGGGCACAAATTGCAGACACGCCCCATCATTCATGGAAAGTCCCACACCAGTCAGTTGCCAATTTATTCATGATTAAGATACTCCAGGTGGTGTTCCCTAGGAACAAGCAAATACAGTCGGACCTTGGAAGTGAACGGAATCTGTTCTAGAAGTCCATTCGACTTCCAAAATGTTCGAAAACCAAAGTGCAGTTTCTGATTGGCTGCAGGAAGCTCCTGCAGCCAATTGGAAGCTGCGGAAGCCCTGTTGGACATTCGGCTTCCAAAAGACGTTTGAAAACCGGAACAGTCACTTCCGGGTTTTGATCGTTCAGGAGCCAAAACATTTGAGAACGTTTGACTTCCAAGGTACGGCTGTATGTCGATTTTGACTTCTTTCCATTTCTCACATTTCCAAATTTGGTTTGCCACATTTCCACAAAGGGCTTCAATTTTTTTTGGGGGGGGGAGGATTCATTAAAATAATCAAGCATTTTAGGGCAAATTTCTTCTTAATACATTCAAATGCAATTTTACGTCTGAATACAGTGGTACCTTGGGTTAAGGACTTAATTCATTCCGGAGGTCCATTCTTAACCTGAAACTGTTCTTAACCTGAAGCACCACTTTAGCTAATGGGGCCTCCTGCTGCTGCCGCACCGCCGGAGCATGATTTCTGATCTTATCCTGAAGCAAAGTTCTTAACCTGAAGCACTATTTCTGGGTTAGCGGAGTCTGTAACCTGAAGCGTATGTAACCTGAAGCATATGTAACCCGAGGTACCACTGTATGTGTCTCCCATCCATGGTGTCAGCTCTACTTTCTACTCATTATGGAAACATTTTCCCAGCATTTTAATAGACTGAAAAGCTAGTAGAATTACATCAGGCTAAATTATTCTGACAGCATCAAATGGCCTGTGGGGTTTTTTTTGGTGGGGGTGTGTGTAGTAGACTTATAGAGTTGAGGAAACAGATTCTACAGAGAAATGGCAGGCTCTACAAAACGCAGTCACCAAATGTGAAGATACAACACCAATTTGGGTTACAGATGCTTCAGGTTACAGACGCTTTAGGTTACAGACTCCGCTAACCCAGAAATAGTACCTTGGGTTAAGAACTTTGCTTCAGGATGAGAACAGAAATCGCGTGGCGGTGGCAGCGCAGCAAAGTGAAAACTGTTATACAGTGGTACCTCAGGTTAAGAACAGTTTCAGGTTAAAAATGGATCTCCAGAACGAATTAAGTTCTTAACCTGAGGTACCACTGTATAACAGTTTTCACTTTGCTTTGCTTTACTCTTTGGTTAATAAGGTATACTGTGGATGCTTCCACACAACTTATTTCAAAGCATTATATTTTAAGGGGGAGGAAATAGTTTTACACGGCCAGTGGATTTTCTGTACACCAACTTGATCATTAAATCATACAAATTAGACTGAAGAGGCAGAAAATATATACAATGTGACAATGAAGTAGCCCTTTCTAATGAAGAAACTTTGTATTTTAATTACAAAGATTCCTACATTAAAAAAACACCACAGCACAAAAAAACAGCTGTAAGTTCACTGGGATTTGCTCCCAGGTATGATTGCAGCCTTAATTGGGAACAGAAATGCAGACATTTATGCTAAAACATACTACTCTGGTCAAAGCTTGCGACTTTATCAAAGTTTCAGTTAACAATCACTTTAAAAATATGTTATGATAACCAATATTAGGATTTCCACATAACTAATAGCTACACAATAGGCAGAAATCTAACAGGTGCAGTTTTCCCTAGTAGAAAGCTGCACCTGCTGAATTTCTGCATGCTCGGCCACTGTTGAAAACACTGGGCCTCTGTCAGTCACAAAATGGCAACCTTCAAGAGGAGCATAAGAGATTTATTTTCAGAAAAGCAGCCAGCTTCATCTGAAAACATAGCATCAGTCTCCTTGATTGTTATTGTCACAACTGACACTGAATATTTGTCAGCTCATTCCCCCCTGACTTAAGTATTTGTGTTCACCACTGTAAGGTTTCCTCCCTAAATTATAAAAATAGAATATAGTTTCCCCTTTTAGCTATCTCACTGTTCACTTCTAAATGTCTGGGAACAGGAGAGTAATCCTCCTTGTTGGGTTTGGAGAAACTATAGATTTGTTTGGCAACTCTAGCATTCTAAAGGTTTTTGAATGCTCTACAATTTACTTATAAATTGTGAGACTAGACGCCTGCTACAGAGGATAGTTATTAACATCTGAACATAATTTTAATTATTCTTCAGAACTATGCATTTTAAGGTGTGAGACAGATCTACAGCCAGACAGAAGCCAAAAAGAAGACTGACTTCCACCTCTCTACCTGTGTTTGTGTGTGTGCATGTGTATGTGTGTGAGAGAGACTGTTCCTTATTTTTAATTCCTTTTCCTCTGTTCAGATAGGCAGCATTTATCTAGGGGGCTAGTAAATAATTGGCACTTATCTGCAAGGCTGAAGTGTTGCACTAAGCAGGAATAACTTTCTCCTTAGCACTACTGTGGCACTAAGCCTAATCTGGCATCAGTAGCTTGATACCTGTACAAATCTAATGAGCAAGGGATTAAAGGGTAGAAAGGAAAGAGGCTGTTCGCTCCATTGTGGAAATTCCTCATTGCATGTACAAAAAGAACTGGTAAACATCAGGATAGCGGATTGCAAAACTGCTTCTGATAAAATTCAATTTCACTTCAAACATTGAATCAATATGCTTGAATGGCAGAAATATAGCTGGAAGGAAGACAAAACTCTACATTTTTTAAAATTAATTTAGGAGTATGTGCCACTGGAGTGCTCAATAAAATACAGCATTCCTTTCACCACCAGTCTACTTCTATATTACTACTGATTTTGAAAGTAAAATAAATAATTCAGGGAGACGGGAGCCAATAGTTTCTTCTAACTGCAATATATTGGGATCTGCAGATGAGGGCCAACATTAACTCCTCTTTATCAGAGATGGTAGGGCAAGGAGTAGGACCTTTTCAAGAGTGGCACTTTATCTTTTCAATTCTCTTCTCAGGTGGCTGCTCCTATGGGAATCTAATTATGAAGCTAGTTTAACTGTAAAATGTTAGGTCACTCTCCAATCAGGGGCATATCTAGGGGCGACCAGGTTTACCCCCACCAATGGCACAGACTCAGGAGGCCACAAACATCATGCCTCTCCACTCTGGCTTGGAGTAACTAGGAACCCACCCACCCACCCACCAGTGTGCTCCTGGGGCACCTCCCCAGCAGGACACCAAGGGTGCAAGGGACAGGGGGCACCAATAGAGCTCCTTGCCAAGGGCACAAGGTAACGCCTTTGTCTCTAGTGAATACACATGCCACTTAAACCTTTACTGCAGCAGTGTTGGCCCTATTTCTGAGGGCTGGTTTGAGAAATTCTAAGGTACATCTTCAAATGGGGAATCATAATTTGCACAATTAGATTGGGATGAATTCAACTTTCAAACATGAGGTTGAAAGAATGATTAGCTGCAGTCATTAAATGGAATTTCATGTGTGAACATCGGTTTGACTGTGCATGAAATAGGGCTTCAAGACAACAAGCCCTCCTCTGAATGCAGGTCTGTAGCGCTTAAACTGCACAACTTGTTTGATCAGAGAGCACAAAAAGTGAAAGTGCTTACTACTGGAAACGATGGCTCTATGTAATGCAGTGCCAACACAGCACCTGTGGGTACCCCTGCATAGCCTTTCTCTTGTGCCTGCAAGGTCCTGCTCTCCTGCTCCTACCCCTGCTAGAGTTAAGCTTGAAAGAAGTCTTTCATTGTAGCCAATAGAGGGCTTTTTCAAACTGAATTGTGACTTTGGGGGAGCGGTTTAGCTGGAGAGGGAAGTGGTAGCTTTCCCTAGCGGTGATTCTACCACCACCACCACAAACACCCTCCGATCACAATTAGATTTCAAAGATCCCTTCTACTGCAGCCAATAAAAGGCTCCCCGCCAGCCTAACTACAATGAGGAAAGGGTGATTGAGGAAGGGGGAATACCCTTCCCTTCCTGCTTGCAGCCTCCCCCTAATTCAAGCCTAATCGCTGGTGGCAGCGTGGAGTGAGTGTGCATGCATGAGGGCCTGCCTGTAGTGTGTGTTTTGTGACTATGCCAGTTTTTCAGGTTTGCAAATGTGCCAATGCACTGGCCCCCAAAAGGCTGGCAAGCCCTGCTATAGTACTGCCTCCAAGTATTTGAAAAGCTGTTGTCTTATGCAATCAAACTCACTCCCATGCTTTTAGGAAACGAAAGTCAGTGATGCTACTTCTAAATCTGTTTCTACTAGAGTGGTACCTTGGGTTAAGAACTTAATTCGTCCTGGAGGTTCGTTCTTAACCTGAAACTGTTCTTAACCTGAGGTACCACTTTAGCTAATGGGGCCTCCCGCACAGCCGCTGCGCGATTTCTGTCCTCATCCTGAAGCAAAGTTCTCAACCTGAGGTACTATTTCTGGGTTAGCTGAGTCTGTACCCTGAAGCGTTTGTAACCCGAGGTACCACTGTATTACAGTATTAAAGCTGCATGTGTGATTATTACATGTGGTAATTCCATGGCTTTTCCCCAGCATGGTGTAGTGGTTAGAGCAGGGGTCAGCAACCTTTTTCAGCCGTGGGCCGGTCCACCGTCCCTCAGAGCACGTGGTGGGCTGGACTATATTTTGAAAAAAATATGAACGAATTCCTATGCTCCATAAATAACCCAGAGATGCATTTTAAACAAAAGCACACATTCTACTCATGTAAGAACACCAGGCAGGCCCCACAAATAACCCAGAGATGCATTTTAAATAAAAGGACACATTCTACCCATGTAAAAACACGCTGATTCCCAGACCATCCACAGGCCGGATTGAGAAGGCAATTGGGCCGCATCCAGCCCATGGGCCTTAGGTTGCCTACCATTGGGTTAGAGTGTTGGATGAAGACCTGGGCGACCAGGGTTCAAATCCTTACTCCAGCCATGAAACTCACTTGGGTGACCATGTGCCAGTCACAGTCTCTGTTTAACCTACCTCACAGAGTTGTTGTGAGAATAAAACAGGGAGGGAGCAATGCACACAACGTTGAGCTCTTTGGAGGAAAAGTGGGGGATCTACACAATAAAATAAAATGTGGGCATGAACATGTGTAACATCTGAATCAGTGCTCAATTAGAAATACCTCCATTCTTCTTCCTATAGGAGCCAACTCCTAGGGGTCCCTTCAGCTCCCCTAATAAAATATTTGAAGGGACCAGCCAAGTTAATGGGCATTGCCATTCAAATCATGTACGTGTGCCACATTATGTGACTGATTATGTGGGGTAGGGCTTACCTGCCCCCCAATATTTTAGTCAAGTTGACACCCCTTCTTCTCCCTCCAGATAAGATGCTTAGTGATCAGCCTTTTAAAAAAGTTCTTTTTAAAGAGTGTGTGAATTAAGGGGTTTTTTGTGTTTAAATAAAACAGTAAAAACAAGGATAATACCAGATACCTACTATGCACTGTGACCCAGAAGGGCATCAAAACCAGTGCTACAAGAGGAGCCTTCATCTCCAATACTTCCTTTGCTTTTGGGATTCCCCCAAGAGAGGCAGGACCAGGGGCTAGGCTGGGCAACGCATCCTTGCCGCTGCTCTGCAAAAGAAGCTCCTCAGACTGTTTACAAGGAACAGAAGAGGACAGCCTGCCACACTATGCAGTCAACTGACGCCCGCCCAAGTCCCGCAAAGGCGCCTTCATCCAATAGGGAGGAGGCGCCTCCCTCGCCTGCCACCAGCATCGCCGCCGCCTCGCCGGCTCCGCCTCGTTTTCTCCAAGGTTCTGCCCTGACGCGGTTACCTAGCAACCGCCTTCTTTCCTGCCAGCCAATCACGGCCCCGCTGCTCCTGCTGACCCGGAAAAAGACGGCTGCAGCCTCTGGTGTTCCCGCGTGCTGCGCTGGGGAGGAAGGCGAAATTCAGATCGCTTTGAAACCAGCGGCGGGGAGGAGCAGGGCGGTTGTGCTTTGCTGTCGGCATCAGCCGCTGCTTGGGCAGCAACAGAAGCAGCAAGAGGGTGTTGTTTTTCGCCCCCAATCCAGGGGCTGGGCAGGCGCTTTAAGGCAGCAAGCTTAATGCACACTAGCACTCTTGATGCATGCAAATCTGGGGGGGGGGGGGGAGACACCTGGAGTTGCTGGACTACAAGTCCCCCATATTCCCTAACCGTTGGGCCGGCCGGTTGTGGCTGATGGGTATTGTAGTCCCAGTAACACCTGGATCAAACCAAACCAAACCAGGAAGAGTGCAGAACGCAGAGAGCGGAAAATAAGGACTATTCTATAAGCTCTGTTGAGAGATCATCCGCCCTTTGACTCTTCTTCCTTGTCACCTGTCATCAGGCTACCTGAACTGTTTCCATTCCAGCTGGCAGGGACAAAACTAGGATTCATTTCACCCGGGTCAAAGACCCAGTTTGGCACACCCACACACCCATGCATGTTTGTATACACACACACACATGGGCGTAGCAAAGGGAGGGGCAGCTGCCCCCCAATATCAGTAAAAATCAATAAAAAGACATAGCTAATTGAGGGCCTCCCCCCCCAACAAAAATCCTGGCTACACCCATGTACATATACACAGGCTGGGAGCCTCAATGGCACCGCTCTGGAGGCTTCACCAAGGGCAAAAATCCTGGCTCCCCCCACCCCGTAGCTACAGCTCTGCAGCTGGTCTTTATAAAAACTGTAACTCTGATTTAAAGTGCTCCTTGAGTTTGCAGCGCCCTCCCTTTTCATTTTTGTGCCATGGTGTGCTAGAATGTAAACCTGAGGGTTGGGACTGTTTATTAATTATTATTATTATTATTATTAATATTATTCTGTAACATACTCTGGTATGTTTTGGGCTAAAGAGCTGATCATAAATGCTCTAAATAAATACAGTAAGTAGTTCTGGTGGTGTCTGCTCTATGATTCCACAGAATTTTAGTGTATGGGCTTACCAAAGGTTGTGTGGGAGTATGGCCATGTTCAGAGAACCTTTTAATACACTTTAAATCTGCACAGCTCCTGTTGAGTGAGGGTCTAAACATGAAGAAGAATGAAGTGGTAGAATGAGGAGTGATTAAAACAGACCACTGCAGACTGTAGGAGGGCAGAATGCATGGTGTTAGAAGATTGGGCAGAATGTTGCCCAAACTGGCTGGCCAGATGTGGCCAGGCACATCCTTTTATTTATTATTTACAAAAGACAAAAAAGTAAATCAAGAAAAAACCGCAACCATGTTTTAAAATATACTTTTAAACATACAAAAGTTAAATACTAAAATACTGAAACAGATTAAAATTTAGCAGGCATACAAAAGAGTACAGTGAAGGCACCTGCGTGATCTCAAGAGGTAGCGTGCTCTGCCACACTAAATGAGTGAGTTCTTACCAACGCTGAACAGTATTTTGTGGCACCTCTAGTAAACTCTGTTGTTGGGTTGCCATGGGAACTAAATGGTTAGACAATTGTTACTTCAGAATCACTTTGGGAATGTTATGAATATAAAAATCAGAAAAGGTAGCAGAAGACCCCTAGCTAAGGATGAGGTAATGCAGATGTCTCTGTGTGACGAGAATCACACACACATGAAATAGCACAGAGAACTGACTTTTGTTAAGCATCTTTAAAGTTTTGGATGTCCCCTTGAGATCTGACATCAGAGCAGCGGACTTTGGTTAGCCGTGTTATTAAGTATGTCCACATCTCTGTTCACTGTGTGTGTGTAAATAAGTGCAGATATTACAAAATGTCAATAAAACTCCTGCGACCTTTTAACGGTGACCTACTTCCAAAGGGAACCAAACTCGGGCAACTTGAACAGACCTCAAATTTCTCAGTGCTTGGCGAGAACGTAACGATATTTTTAATACCTAGCTACTTGCTCCGCTTGCAAGTAACGTCCCTACTTAAGTTCAATAAGTCTTACAGTTAAGGTACTGAGCTGCAGCCCAGCAGTGAGCTGCCCTACGGATATATGCCCAGAAGGTATTGTGCAGCTACAAAACCCAAGCCTTAAACCCATTTTCTTCTCCTTCTGGGCACCAGGATGTGCCTTAGAGCAAACTCCACTTCAGCTACACCCTTGTCACTTCTCTCCCACAGTTAGCACAGAGAAGCCCACTCTTCCTGGGGCCGGCCCACCTATGAGGCAAGGTTTGGGTGCCTCGGGCGGCAGGATGCACAGAGGTGGCAGAACCCCAATGGAGATCTAGCTCCTCCCCTTTTGTTCTCTCTTGCCCCTCCCTCCCTCGCTCCCCCTGCCAGTCAGGGTGCCCTGCCTGCCGCCCCTCCTCCCGCTCCCTCCATTATGCCTCCCTGCCCCTTTAAACAATCGTTGCTGCGGCGGCGGCGGCGGCGCAGGGGGGCGGGGCGCGTCGCTTGAGCGGCGTCTGCCGGGGCCAACGGGCGGCGGAGGCGGGCGCTGCGGGGGTGTCTGTCGGGTTAGAGCGAGGCGTGACCCAGTCGGCGAGCGCTGTGAGGGGAGTGTGTGTGTGAGAAAGAGAGATAAGAGGAGGGAGGAGGCGAGCGGAGGAGGAGGAGGTGCCCAGCAGCAGCAGCAGCAGCAGCAGCAGCAGCAGGGCGACGAGCATCACCGCCGAAGACGCCGCCGCCGCTGCCGCCACAGCGGAGCAAGCTGTGCCCTCTCGCTCGAGCCCCGCAGCCGGGTCGGCGCGCTTCCCCCGTCGCCCGTGAGCCTGGGGAACCTGCAGCTCAAAGCCTCCGCCAGCCACAGCACCATGTATCCCGGGAACAAGCGGAAAAAGGTCTGGAGGGAAGAGAAAGGTACTGACACCCCCCCTCCTCATTCCTCCATCCGCGCCCATTAAAGCGCGCCCCTCTTCGCTCTCCTCAGGCAAACGGTTAAAAGGGGGGGGCGAGTTCGCTTTGCCCCCCCCTCCTCCAGGATGCGCGCGATCCAGAGCCCCCCCCCCCGCGCGCCGCCTTTTTCCTGGACAAGGTCTCCTTCCTGTTACCTCAGGCTTACCTTGGCGAGGCAGCGGGGCTCCTCCTCCTCTCGCTCATTCCCTCAGCCTTGCCTTTGAATGTTGTGGTTTTTGCTTCTTCTCTCTCTCTCTCTCTCCGCTCCTCCCCCCCCCTTTGCCACCCTTAGTTCACTTTTCCTCTCTTATTGGGTCACGCGTTTCTTTCCCAGGGACAGCCGAGGAGGAGAGGGCATGAAAGAGGCGCTGGCTTTCCGTTGGGAACGTTGGGGGCGGTTGGTGGGGGGGGGTGGGAAAGAGAGGGAGCCAGAGCAGGTGACGAGGAGACGGTCGCCTTGGGGTTTATCTTGTCCCTTCCAAGTGCTACGACCTTGTCAGGGGCTCTGTATTAGTTAGGCTGCATCCTGTGCATGGCCTGGTTTTTTGTTTTGCTGGGGAGGGAAAAATCATAATAGCTACGCTCTCCTCTCTCTCTCTCTCTCTCTCTCTCTCTCTCTCTCTCTCTCTTATCCTCTTGACTTTGTTCTCTGTTCTGGAGTTGCATTTTATTTTTTGGACTTTGCCCTTCTCCAAAGGTAGAGCAACAACAACAAAACTATTGATTGCAAACAGCATCCATTTAAGAAAATCCCCATTTTTTTTATTAAAAAAGCAGATGATGCATCTGTCCTCTTCATCGGGCTGCCTGTGTTACTTTCTTTCACTGGGTGGTTCTGTTTATACCTTGTCATGGTTCCGTGTTTGGGTCGCTCCTCTCCTCTGTTCTTGCTTTCTGCTGGGTCGCCTGTGTCTCACTCCGATGTCTGCAACACAGAGCAAGAAAAAGCACGGTAAAAATTGATTGCTGCCTTCTGTCATTCACGTGTCACTGCAAAGAAATGCAAGGTGTGGTGGCGTGTATTGCCATCGGTGCAAAGCACCTAACCTTTGGGACGTGAATTTTGAAATAGACCCCTCCCTCATGCACCAACCCTCTCATACTTGTGTCAGGAAATGAAAGTGTAGAGTGCCTCTTTGCTGCCTCCTTACAACTTTAGTTTCTGTGCTCTGCAAAGTTAATGATAACTGCTCCCTGTTTCCAAAGTGTTTCGATCTCTCCCTATTCTGTGTTAAAAACCATTGTCAGGATACTGCAGACTCAGTGACAGCAACAGCCAAAGCTGGCTCTTCTAGCGCAGGAAATACTTAGAAATATACAAGTTTCATTTCAAATAACTTGTCGGTTGTTGAAACTAACAGAATGAAAGTTTGTAAGCTAATCTCTGTTGGACCAAAACTGCTTCTGTAAACAAAAACAAAGTATCTTTGAACTTAGACAAGCTTCCATTGGTCAGAGTACAACACAAAATGTGCTCTCTTTTCTCTGATGGGCTGATTGCAGTACCCCAGTCTTAAAACCAGTGGTTATTAAAGAGTGGGCCTGTAATTTAGAAGCCACAGAGATGGACACAATTGTTTTGTTCTTGTTTTTATTATATTTTGTTTTTATTTTGCATTTTTATGCTGTGAACCGCTCTGAGATCTTTGGATGAAGGGTGGTATACAAATGTAATACATAAGTAAAATAAATAAAAAAAACAGGGGAAGGCTTATGTTGACCTGTGCATTTATGCTGACTAAAATGTAACTATTCAAAAGGAGAGAAAATGATTGCTAGTATGTGTAAGGGCTATTCTCTAATGGTGTGTGTTTTAACTAACAGACTTATAAAAGTTCTCTCATCAGCAAATACATTAGCTGTTCAGTGGAAAATGTCACTACATTTTTGTGATCATTGTTTATGAATGGCTTAAATATAATATAAAAAAACTTAAATAATATTTAAACTCATTGTATTAATGCTAATTAAAACAAAGTTGTACCTATTGGACAGGGCTGTGCATGTTAAAATTCTTCCTAGATTTAACAATGGAAACTTCATTTTGCATTTACAGTAGCCAGGCCAGGCCTGAGCTGTGAATTTCTTGCAGATATGTTATTAAATAAGATTTAGTAGGAGTACTACTGTTAGTAGATGTGACTTTTCTCATAGTCAGATGAAAGCAAAGCAAATCAGAAGTCATTTGCTATTATAAAAATAGGTGTTGCCAAGCTTTTTAGGCCCATGGCCACATTCGAGTTTTAAACTGAGTGTTGTGGGCATAATCCCCTCTGATTGCTACTCTCCCTCCTATCCTAGCCTTCGCCAGGCAGATGGAAAGAGAAAGTGTTCATGCACAGACTTCACCTTTCCAAGAGATCTGGATGGAAGTTGCATTAATAGAATTGATCTGAACCCTGAAAAGCACATGGAACTGGAAGAGGAAGTAGGAAAGCACAGCACTCCTCTGACTTCCTCCTCCAGGTCTATATACTTTTCAATAGTGAAAAAAGTAATTATCCTCACCACTGAGGGGGCAGTAATTGTGTCTCAAGCTTCTTGGGCATCAGGGAAGACCGAGTGCCCTGTAATAGTTAAAGACAGAGCGAATGTAGAATATTTGTCCTTCTCATCACTGTTGGATGGACTCCACAGTATTGAGAGCTCCTGTTGTTCTGTTGATTCACTTGCTAGATCTGCCACAGCTACATCAGACTAGATTCACTCTACTAAAGTTGTGAGCCTCCAGCTTCATGGTGGATTGCTATATTTCTTCCTAGTTAATTGCTTTTAGGTTTGCTTTTGCACATCACGTTCTCAAGGGCAGCTGTGTGAAATCTCATTGTGTTCAAGAGGATTTTGTTAATTTTCCAACATGAACTGCCTAACACTAAAGGGTTGTTTTTATAATCGTGGAAATCTTTATTCTTATTTCTATTGGTAGAAACATTTATACCTAAAAGTTATAACTTAAGGTCCTTAACATTTTTATTTTAAGGTTGATGTTTTAACTAATGCAAATAAAAACTTCAAGAAGAGTAGATCCCTTTTTTTTCAGTCTACATCAGTTATATTTTCCTTACAGATTGACTAGAGTGTGGTGTGGGTTTCTTCTGTAGTTTTGAAGCAATGCTAAATTTTAGTAGAGCAAGCTTCTTTGACCTACTTCAGAAATTATAATATATGAGGAAATAGGAGTGTACAGTGGTACCTCGGGTTACATACGCTTCAGGTTACAGACTCCGCTAACCTAGAAATAGTACGTCAGGTTAAGAATTTTGCTTCAGGATGAGAACAGAAATCGTTCTCCGGTGGCGCGGCGGCAGCAGGAGACCCCATTAGCTAAAGTGGGGCTTCAGATTAAGAATGGACCTCTGGAACGAATTAAGTACTTAACCTGAGGTACCACTGTATTTATAACAATACTAGATGCTGTTGATGATTATGAGGTAGATTGGAGGCATGGTGCAAATGCCTTAATTGAGCTCTTGCCTTGAGTAAATATCTTAAGTGTTTTATGTGAACCGAATGTCTTTGATGGTGTGGGTTTATTAGTGCATATGTGTTGCCTGTCAAACTAATATTTCAATAGCATTTTAAATTAAGTGATAAGTCCTAATAGAAGTCCTTGATCACTTCAGTTTTAAATAATAAGCAGCCATGAAAACCAAAGCAAGTTCTTAAGCGCTGCTTCAAGTTGCATAAGAAATGGCACACATTTGTTTTGTCTGTTTTTTATTTATTGTAGGTTGTATCCAACTAATGCATACTTGAAACAAACCAATTGAAATAAATAGACATGACTAACAAGTTTGTTGATTTCCGTGAAGAAGTATGGCTTAGTTGGATACAGCCCAGAAACACTAGAAAGGAAGCCTGAAATGAAACTCGGCCACAGCATCAAGAACTCATTGGAAGCTTGGTTGTTGAGAAATAAAGGTGTTGATGGATTATGCTTTCTGAGTGTAATTGAACTATTTTATCACAGCTTTTTGTGCAGTTTGCCTGTATTCTGAAACTGGTATAAGATGCAATAAAACTTAGATAACAGCACACTCTTGAAATCTCATATATTCCCCCAAGATAAATGTTATTCCATCTGTAGAAAGAAAAAGTGGGTACTTGTAGGATAATTCATGAACCTTTCTTCAATAGAAACGGATTAACTTTAATGCTAGTAATGTATACTAACTTTTTTTAACAGAGCGTTTGTTGAAGATGACATTAGAGGAGAGGCGTAAAGAATACATACGAGATTACGTTCCTCTGAAAGACATCCCAACATGGATGGAAGAAATGAAAAGCAAGACCCAAAGTGATGGTAGGTTAGCTTCTAATAATTGTGCTTTCGAAGATGAATCATGGCATCTATAATTTTGCTTTCCATGCTGGAGTAGTTTTGGTTTCTTGTGTTGTAGAGGTTGAGGGCTGAGGATTTGCATTAAACAATGTTGCAGATTGCTGCATTGTGCTGTTTTTGGCCATATTCCTATAGGAGTGCTTCACTCACTACATTTTAAGGTTTACACATAGAATTCCTTATATAATAATAATAAATTATTTATATCCCGCTCATCTGGCTGGGTAAATTAGTTGAGCTTAGTCTCATGTGTAAATTAGTTGAATGTCGTCCCATTTATTTAAATTGGAACTATGTACAAATAAAACTTGTTTGGATCCAGCCCATTGTGCAAATGTGACGTATGTTTGCAAACAAATATATTCTATATACCAGTTGTGGTGTGCTCTGCTCCATGGGGTCACAAAGAGTTGGACACAACTAAAAACAACACCACCAATTCCCAGAGTTCATTCCATCCTTTCTTTAGCCAGTTTTTTTCGCTTGATAACATGAACTCAGACTGCCTTGACACTGAAGAATAACCTTGATACCGTTCTGAAGAATAACTTGAGGTGAAACATATAAAAGTTTGGAAATAGTTAAAACAAATTCAGATTTTCACATATCAAGTTACATAAAGGACAACTGTAGATTAATTATGCCATAAAAACTTTTGCACCTCATATTCTTTTGTAGTTACTAGTTTGTTAGTCGAAGCTGTACTTCTGTTGATTTCTGTACCATATTTCTTTCCAGGGACATGCCTACCTCTTTGGTACTTCCTACTGCTTGTCTTCAGTGGCTTGGATCCAAAGAGCAACTTTAGGTGCACACAGTGGGACAGCATACTTACTGTGCAGAATCAAACAATTTTAAAAAATCCCTTCATTTTTCAAATATGTGTTGCCATGATGCATGGGGGAATTACTCAAGAGAAACAAACCTGAAGCTGCCTCTTGACTGCAGACTTTCTTGTACAGTTTTTAAAATATTGGGTTATAACTAGAAAGTATCCTTCAACTTCTGAACAGAGCTCTTCTTCTGTAATGAGAAGAGAATAAAATGGAGTAAACGACCAAACTAGAAATGGTCAAGGCAAGGGTAGAAGTCTATTTTGGTATTGTTAAAATTAAATGAATCATTGCATGTTAAAATCTTCAAGCTGTACTCTTCCAAGCTGAAGTCAAATTAAAGTCAGTGGTGTAGTCCATCTTGTGTGTATTGCAGATACAAGGAACAAGTGTAATCAACGTAAAGCTATTCAACTTCTGAAAATAGCCTTTAGTTTTATGTATTAATTGTGGAATATTTATTTTGAGTATTTATATATCACCTCTCACAAGAAAAGATAAAAAGCAGTTTGCAAAGTGCCTTTACAAATAAATATAACAGTAGCTTCTGGGTATCTGGTGTATATAATGGAATTAGATGGCTTTCTTAGGGTTGCTTCTGATGTCTTTCAGCAAGTCACTTTAGTGAGTAATGTCTACATATTTAACTGCAAGTCAGACATGTTAATAATAAGAACTATAGAGCAGATGTCACTCATGAGTACTTGCCAGAATGTAGCTATTTTAGTTATATGCAAAGGAATAATTTTTTTCTTCCCTTATCTAGTCACCTATATAATTGAATCTGCTTCACAAATACTGGAGACTGCTCTATTCCTAGAGTTGGTGTAAGGGGAGGGCAGTTGTGTTCCTTTGGTTCTTGAGATCTTGATGTTTGATTCTACACGGTGCTGTCACATTTATTACAGTGTGTCATCAGGACAGTTTGTGAAGATGCCACATAATGTTGGGTTTCAGTTAGTGTCTGCTATGCATTTTATTCTGATGTGATTTTAAAATTTCTTCAAATAGAATAACTGAAGCAGTTCCTAACCACCACATTGATGTAGCAATATGAGCCAGATTTCTTATTAAAAGATTAAAGTACTTTTAACCCCAGCTACCAGTGTCCTCTCAACAATTTAAAATGGAAGCAAATGCTTCTGAACTCACAGCTGCATTTGAGTGGGGGAAGCCAGCCCAAGTTACTTTTTTCAATCACACTAAATGCTGGTCTAATGTTAATATCTGAACCATCAGTGTCCCTTTCAAAGTAAGTAGGCTGGTGCTCAGTGACAGATCCAGTGGTTTTTGTTCTATGATTTACTGTAATCACCTCATTATTATGTAAAATAATATGTTTGGTATTTTACACACCCCCATGACCCATTTTTTCTCAGTCATGTTTTATGATTCATGTGTGTACAATTTTGTAACAGAAAAATAAAAATATATATTAAAAGTTACATTTTAAAATATCAAACATGCATTAATATATAAACACTGACAACATGATTCCATGGGCCTAAAATGCCAATCCTCCCACTTTGGTTAAACATAAGGGTCTCTGTAGGTAAAGCTCTAATAAAGAGAAAACTAGAGGCAGTGTTGATGAATGAGTAGCCAAGACTGGTTTTGCACAACTGTTGCCTGGAACTCCAAAACTAGAGTTCCATGCCAGGACAAAGATCCATCTTGTACCGCCACTTTGAGTTGAAACATTAAAATTCCTTTATTCAATTATTTTGCATCCCTAGAAACAAACTTAAATGAAATATTGGTCTTAAGAAACTGAGGCAGTACCTTTTAATACAACAAGCACAATGTAATAATTTGACCGGGCAGAGCAATCCAAGCCCCTGTTCTGCCATGCTGGAAGACTTGAAAGGAGCAGAGGTGTACAGAAACTGAGGGTACAGTAGCTATGGGAGGTAGCACCAGGTGATATGAAGTCTAGATACTAGGTGACCCAGCTGGTCATTGTGGCATTTGAAGCCACCTTCAAGCCCTTCTATTCTTTTTGATGATTTAATGCAGTGGTTCTCAAAAGGTGTGATGTGCCACACTGGTGTGGCAGGAGAGGATGACAAGTATGGCAGGAAGATTCAAGGACAATCAAAGAAATATTTCAACGTTTCAGGATAGTATCAAAAAATAATATTTTATTTTTTTGCAAAATATGTAGCTACATTGTTCTATACCTTTTGGATGTCCCATGATCATATTATAAAGTAGTTGTTTTCTATGTTATAAATCAAACACCGCTCGGAGTTGTTCCTTTTTGTTTTCCAATGCATTTCTTAGCAATAAAAAATTTGATGTGGAATGAGCAAATTTTTATTCTGAAAATGTGGCCCAGAGAAAATTTTTTGAGAACCATTGCTTTAATACATTAGCTCAGGCATAGGCAAACTCGGCCCTCCAGATGTTTTGGGACTACAACTCCCATCACCCCTAGCTAACAGGACCAGTAGTCAGGGATGATGTGAGTTGTAGTCCCAAAACATCTGGAGGGCTGAGTTTGCCTATGCCTGCATTAGCTGCTGCAAGTATGGTTTAATGAGAAGACTTGTGCACCAGTCTTTCACTTAAGAAAAACGGTCTGCTTTTTTAGCTGCTCATGAAAAAAGAACAGTTTTGGGGCAAAACAGTTTCTTTTGTTCTACCTGTTTACACAATAATTTTTTGGATACTTAGGGAGAATAATTAGGTCTATACTGCATAAATTACAGATGCAGTCTTTAGTACAAAGAGGGGTCTGGCATTTTAGTCTAGCTTATTTTAACTCCAGCTTTCTATAGACTGACTCCAGCTGCATAAAAAGGTGATAGAAAAGTGTGTGTGTAATTATACACATGCAAATTGAGGTAACACTGGAGTATAAATGAAGTGAATAACGGGAGAACAAAAGGCAATGGGGAGGAAGATCATCTTAATTGCTGGGGTATGGAAATAACACCTGCTCTGAACACTTGCTGGAGCATTACACGCTTAGGCTAAATGCTGCACTGCTGGCCACGAATACAGTGCATGATCGCATGTAAATCTGATTGGAGTGAAGATTCTATTAAATTGCTGTCAAGATGGATGGACAGACATGAACTAATAGATTTAAATCCAAGCCCTTGTGAGACTGCATTGCCTAGCCACAGGTAGCACTGGCTGGTGATGGTATGTCATCCTAACAATTTCACCCACTTTAACAGTTTCAAAATACAGTGCATATTAATTTTTTTTTTAATATTCTCCCACATATTCATTGCTGGTATCGATTGTAAAAATGTCACCGTGGCCGCTGGGTTTGATTACTTCAAAAGCTTATATTTGAACATGGAAACAAACCCCCATCATAGTATGTTAAGGCAAACAAGGGATAATTCTTGCCATGACACTCTTTGAGTGCTACCCTGAGTGATCTGCTTAGGCACCAAGGAAAATGGCATACTGTACTAGGCATACACCTAATAAAGCAAAGTAATACAGCAAAGAGTTGAGCTGAGGACATAAACAGGAGCAAGCTGGGCCCTGAGAATGGAATTCAAAAACTGAACCCTGCTTTGTAATTTTTCAACTGGTTTATAAGTGTTTATAAGTACTATGACCATGATAAAGAAATGTTCCTTATATTTTTCATTTGTAGATTTAAAGGCTGCTTTTGGTTTGGTTGGTAGGGAATGTATGTGGGAAGAAATTGCCTTAACTGGTATAAAAGACTGATTGCTTTATTTAGTTATAAGGCTCAACAAATAAAATCTGGTACTGTAGAAGTTCAAGGAGGACCCTCTGGAGGATTGTCCAGTAGCATTCCAACTCTTAAGGGAGTTTGACAAGGTTGCTTGCTGCCTCCCTGATTAAATTTATACATAAACAACATTGCTACTAGTTCATCCAGTATATTTGGGGGACAGACGAGCTTTACTCTTGCTGTTTGCTGATAATACAGCCCTTGTGTCCTCCTTGCAAATGGGTTGGAGGAAGGTTATAAGGGATTTTTCTAGCTACTGCATATCTGAATTATCAGTTATAGTAAAACACATATCATAGTGGTTGGAATAAATCAGAGGTAACGTAGGTAGAATATCAGTGGGAACCAGATTGCCCAAGTGAAGCAATTTACCGTAAATATCTAGGTATCGCCTTTGCTAGTTC